GTGTAACTGAACACCTGTTCTACCCTGGGGTGGGCACTGTTCCATGATATGAACGTATAACTCCCAGGAGGTATTGTAGGGACATGGACTGTGGCATGGGTGTTGGTATCAGACAGACTTGGGTTCAGATGTAGGCACTGTAATGTGTCTGAGCTTCGCAGGCCAAATGTGAAGACTTGCAAGTAATAGTAGAAAGAATGCTTTTAGGAGAGGACCAATAAACAGTAGCTGTAATGACCGTGGCAATGTAAATGCTGCACTTACCAGTCTGAGACCTGCTTTCAAACACCGTATCCAATTTATTTTCACAGAACCCTGAGAAAGATAATATGAAACTCTTTTTGCAAATGCAAACTGAGGTCCAAACAACTAACTGTTCAAGGTCACACGATCAGGAAACAACAGAGGTAGGAGGACCGCCTGGGTCTTTTTTTTTGGTTCTGTCCCACTACCACTGCCCTGTAGAGCCCTTCAGTTAAGGAATAATTATATTTCATTTTGATAATAACAGCCAAGACTCTGGTCTGGAAACAGATGAAGAAAGCAACTCTGCTTAAAAAAAAAATCCTCTTCAATGTCCTGCAGGGATACGGAGAGCAGCTTCCGCTTGTCCGTGTCAGGGTTCACTAGGTTAAGTACAGCACAGGGTGAGAGTAGGCAAAGGGGAAAGGAATTGGGACAAAGCCAGGGCCTCCAGGGAGCTTGCAGACAAGGAAGGTTGGCTCTCGTTAACTCAGAAACACAGAAGAAATGATCCCAGGAAAATGTGAGTGTTGGCTCTGGAGCTTGGCAGGTCAAGGATGGGCAGTGGTGTCTGGTGAGGGCCTCACACTGTTTCCTAACCCGGCTGGAAAAGGTGGAAGGGCAGGTGGATGTATGAAAGAGCAGCCCAGTAGAGTTCTTACAGCAGATGGGAACTAGTTGCCTCATCTTCGGGAGTGGCAGTCTTGTGTACATGACAGCCTGTGTCACATAGCACCCTCCTGGCTTGGCCCTTTGTTTCTGGAATGGTCCCTCAAAGACTTGGGGAAGTGTCTTGTTCTCCATTTTTCATTTTCTCTGATTTTAGGTTCCTGAAATGTTTACAAACAAACAAGGTTTTTCAGCTTTTCTGTTTGGAATTAACTTGATTGATGTTTTTCATCCCCAGAAATGTGAACCGAGAAGTCTGAAATAAATGTAGGTTAGTTACTTGGGCTGACATTACAAGCAGTTGGTTTACTCTGCGACATTTCAGTTGATCTTTCAAGTTTCCGCAAATGTTTGGAAGTGAGAAACGCTGCTCTTCGCATGGGATGAAAGGAAGCAGAAGAGAACCTCAATGTCAGGTTCGTGTTCAGAGGCGCTCAGTAACGTAACAATGGGGTTTGCAGAGCGGTTGCTGGAGGAAGAGATGGAAGGCAAGAAAATGGAAAATAGGATGGCCAAGGTCCCATGAACACACTCAGGCCACAGAAAGCTTAACAACAACAACAACAACAGAGTTTAGCCGTGGGAAGTTCCTTCAACCACAGACCTTAGAGTTGTATTTGCTTTTACATCTGCCAAACAGATTCACAGTTCAAAGTGCCAAGATCTGCTTAAGAGTCCTTCCTCTGTTGCAGCCTATAAAATCCCCAGGATACTTGGGTCTCAAGGAAAACTGGATGGTTCAAGAACAAATGAGGGGGCCAGTGCTGTGGCGCAGTGGGTTAACGCCCTGGCCTGAAGCGCCGCCATCCCATATGGGCACCAATTCGAGTCCCAGCTGCTCCACTTCCTATCCAGCTCTCTGCTATGGCCTGGGAAAGCAGTAGAAGATGGCCCAAGTCCTTGGGCCCCTGCACCCACGTGGGAGACCCAGAAGAAACTGTTGGCTCCTGGCTTCGGATTAGCACAGCTCTGGCTGTTGCGGCCAAATGGGGAGTGAACCAGTGCGTAGAAGACCTCTCTCTCTCTCTGCCTCTCCTTCTCTCTGAGTAACTCTGACTTTCAAATAAATAAATAAATAAATCTTAAAACAAAAACCAAACACACAAAAAAGAGCGAGTGGTGCAAGTACGAGCTGGACTTCTCCCACTTCTGCCTCGTTGACAAGGACCCCGCCACCGCCTTTCTCGTGTTCCTGGAGCCCAGTGAGAAACCAGCTGCCTTGTTCTTCCTGGGCTGGCAGTGCAGAAATTCCACAGCCTGGTAGCTGATAAGCCGTGGAGGTTCATTTCTCACAGTCTGGAGCACAGGAAGATCAAGACATTGGCAGATTTGGTGTCAGATGCGGTCTGGGTTCCTGGTTCCCAGACCATGGCTTCTTGCTGTGCCCTTACCCGGTAGGAGCGGAGACGGGGCTCTGAATTCTCCTTAGCCAGGGAGCTAATCTCATTCCTGAGGGCTCCTCCCTCGTGACCTAATCACCAACCCAAAGCCCCAGCCCCGATAAATACCATCAATACCATCACATCTGGCCATAGGGACTGGGACGGAGAAACATTTAGGCAGAGACAGAGAGAGAGGTCTTCCGTCCATTGGTTCACTCCCTAAATGGCCACAACGGCTGGAGCTATGCTGATCCAAAGCCAGGAGCCAGGTGCTTTTTCTGTTCTCCCATGTGGGTGCAGGGGCCTAAGGACTTGGGCCACCATCCACTGCTTTCCCAGGCCATAGCAGAGAGCTGGATCAGAAGAGGAGCAGCCGGGACTAGAACCAGCACTACTGCGCCATGGTGCCAGCCACGCCAGTGCTTGCTTCTGCGAACTGGGGAAGATAGCAAACATCAGGACCAACCTGAGTGTGCCCCTGGAGTGGCTCAGCATGCAGGATTTGAATTGCAGAAAAGTATTCTCTCTCTCTTTTAAAGGAAACCATCTCTGAAGTGAAATATTTTCAGTTTCCAGCACTTGGTTCTACATAGACTCAGAATTTTCCTGCCATTATTTTACAAAGGCAGCATTGAGTCCTGGGTTTTATAAATGGCACATGTTACTGAAATGTGCTCAGAGTAGAAAGAACTTTGAGGGCTGGGTGTTCATGTGCAGAGATCTGTAAGACAGTGTGGGAACGATGGCAGACTCATCACATGGTTTCTGATGGCTGTATTTCTTCTTAAACTTACTAAATATGTGAAAAGACACATAGTGTGTGTTTTTGCTCTCATTTCCCTTTAGAATTACAGTTAGATGGTCAAAACTGTGACCGGTTGGTTGGGTGCCACATAACCACTTTTTGGTCAGAGATGGGCTGCCCATACAGAGCGGCTATGCCACATAGCTGAGGTGTGCAGTCGGCTAAGCCATCCCTCCATGGAGTTCACACAACAGACAAAATCGCCTACTGGCACACTTCCCAGAAAACCTCCTGGTCGCTGAGCAACACGTGAGTGCATACCCTGAGGTCTCCCTTTTCCCAGACACCTTTTCATTCTCTGTGCTCACATTCTACCTTGCCATTGCCGGGGGGTGGGGAGCTGTCAGTTGTTGAGGGTCTTGTATCAAGCTGGAAAGAAGACTGACTGGATGGGAGTATGGAGACTTGGTGTTTAAACCTGGGACCTGCCAGCTGCTAGCTGGTGACTCTGGGCTAGTTTTCTCATCACCTGAACAGAAGGGGTAATAATATTGCAACTATATCTTCACGCACTGTGGTGAGATTCAGATAAAAAAAACAGATCTGAAAGTGCTTGGAAAATGTTAAGAGCTGAGTAGGTGTAGGACTGTGCCTCCTGCTTCGTGAGCAGGGTGAGCTCCCCTCTATGTGGCTGACAGGTGGTAATTAGTGGGTAAATAAATGAGTTCCTAAATGATCTGATTGCCTTTGGGGGATAACACAGCAGTATCGTTATGGTCAATCTACACAGTTCAACTAGAGAAGACACATAGAGAAAAGAACGGAGGTTTGGAGCTGGCGTTGTGGCATAGTGGGTAAAGCTGCTGCCTGGGATGCTGGCATCACAGATGAGTGCCCGTTTGTGTGTTCCGGCTGCTTCACTTCCCAGCCAGCTCCCTGCTAATGTGCCTGGGAAAGCAGAGGAGGATGGCCCAAGTGCTTGGACCCCTGCATCCACATAGGAGACCCAGAAGAAGTTCCTTGCTCCTGGCTTTGGCCTGGTCCAGCCCTGGCCGTTGTGACCACCTGAGGAATGAACCAGAGGATGGAAGATCTCTCTCTCGCTCTCTCTCACTTTCAAATAAATACATCTTTAAAACACACACACACACACACACACTGAGGTTTCTAGTTTCAGGGAAAATAACCAGAAGTTTTCTCAAGAGTCAGAGAGATCACGAGGCAGAGATGTGGAGATTGTGAGTTAACAAGAAAAAGTTTTTTCAGGTGGTTGGAGCGCTTGGGTCATCAGGGGTACGGAGAAAGACCCATGTGGTCGGTGAACTGTGGCCAAAATCAAACGTCCCAGGGCACGGAGAGCCGCGCCTCTCGAGTCACATTCACTCCTTTCTTAGATAGGACCTGATTTTTGAGCTGTTCGGGCTCAGAAAACGACACCCCAGATATGCCACTTTGCCTTTCAAACTGAGAGCGAGGGCAGGGCAGGACTTTCTGAGGTTCCCGTGTCTGCCAGAGAGGAACACGGTCGCCTTCAAACCTCCTTACTTCTGCTTCATAAGCCAAAAATTAAACTCACACCACGGAGGGGGCTGAAAACCAGACCCCACACGCAGAGCCCAGAGGACTCTTTGTCGCAGGCTTTGTCTGCCACACAGCTCATCTGCTCCTCTCAAAGTCCTTTCCCACCCCTCTTCAGTCGCAATGGCCCCACCCCCTCCCCTAGACAGAGCATATAAGCCCCCCTCCCCACACTCACACACCTGGGGGTCCGTGAGGCTCCTACTCTGCCTGGGCACACGGGGGCCTTAATACACTGTATGCCTTTTCTCCTTGAGCTCTCTGGTCTGTTTGTGGCAGCAAACCCAATTACCGGTTCTTCCGCGGGGAAGTCTGAACCAGTAGAGAGTTTAAGGATGTGCCACGAGGTAGGAGAAAGAGCCCTGAACTTAGGGCAGAATTCCGCTTTCAGATCTGTTGTGTCACTTATGATGTGTGTGACACTTGCTTGTCGAGAGGAGCCAGGATGCCTGCTAGGCTTGGAATCTCAACTTGTGAAGGTAAGTGTCTTGACAGGGAGAGAAGGTAGCTTTTCCGTGTTAAAGCGGTTTGGTTCTAAGACTATTTTTCATCTCTCATGCTTGATACAAACCGAGTTCTACAGCAAGGAAGAAGGCCCTTCTAAGACTGCTTTGAGAATCTGAAAGCAGGGCAGAGCTGAGCGAGGGAAGAGATTAGCCCCAAAGCTGTAGACATTAGCGGGTGCCCCAGCCTTTTCGCAGTAAGAGCAGGTGCCACAGGTAAGCGCCCCAGCTGGGACTGTGGCAGGACTGGGGGTGGGAATCTGGGGGTGTTCATCTGTCCCCAGGCAAACTCTGGCTTTGTCTGTCCGGAGAGTGATTGGTGAGTTATTTCCAGACAGGAGAGCCTAAATTTGGGGGTGGGAGTAAACCCCGGCGCCAGGTGACTCCTGAATTCGGGTTCCCAGGTTGGAGAAAGAAACTGGAGTTTAACGCGGGGGTATGATGGGAGGTCTGCGATGCCCAAAGCTTCCAGAAAACACCGCTTGGGCACTTAGCTCTGCCGTGCGCCTTGGGAAGTCCCTCTCGGGGCCTCTCCTATTTCAGTTCTCTTTTCCCTGCCCGCAGGCCCCCAACCAAGCGCCCAGCACCCTCCTCCGACCCGGCTTGGCACCGGGCCGGGGTCAGCGCCGCTCCGGGGGCTGGGCCTGGGTCACGGTCATCTGACCGAGCCTCCCCGGAGCGGCGGCCCTGAGGGGCTGGGCCACGGGCTCGCAGCGGGGCACGCAGCGCACGGGCGGACGCTGGGCACTGCCGCCCTGCTGCACGGCGGCTCCTCCGCAGCCCGGAAGGAGAGGGCGCCGCCGCGCGGGCATCGCGCTTGGCCCACAGCTCTGTCCCCGGCGGGCGGGCCGGCTCCGCGGGTTCCCCAGGTACGTCGGGGCCGCCGGCGCGCCTCTGCACCCATCCCGTTCGCAGCCCGGGGAGCCGAGACCCGGACACGCACTGGGGCGGCGGGGTCCCGGGGACGCCGGCGCGTGCCCTCCGGGGAGCGGGGCGGGCGCGGCGCAAATGCGCGCTCACCCATCCCCGGCGGCGGGGCCCGGTTCTCTCGGCCGCCGTGGGGCCGAGCGCCCTCCCGGCCTGGCTGGGCTGCGGGGTTTGCTCCAGCTCCTCCGGCCGACCCCCCCCCCCCCCCCGGGTGGCCCAGGTGGGCGGTGGCCCGGTCCTGCACAGGATTTGTCCGGAGCGGAGTTGGGTCACCGCGGCTCCCAGGTGGGACGGGCTCAGGACTTGGGGGGGGGGGGGGGGTTCTTTGCACACCCCCGCCGCGTTCCTTCCTTCTTAACGCGTCTGAGGGAGGGCTCTGCCTGGGAAGCAGCTGAGAACTTTTTTAAAGAGTCCAACTCCTGAAGTCATAGTGGTCTCAAATTCCCCTTCTAACTTCTCCAACGTCTATAGACGAGAACTATGTGTTTAGAACTTAGAGGCAAGCCAAGGAAGTGTTTTTCCTGTTTCAAAGAAGAGAGTTTTCCGGGTGCAAACAACAGCCTGCTGAGATTTTTTTTTTTCCACTTGAGAGAGAAAGAGAAAGAAAGAGAAAGAGAAATTGATTCCACCGGTTGGTTCCCGCCCCAAATGCCCACACGCTGAGAGCACTGAACCTCATCCGGGTCTCCTCATGGATGGCAGGGAGCCAACTACTTGAGCCAGCTACATCTGCTACTTCCCCAGGTGCACAATGGCAGGAAGCTGGATCAGAAACAGAGCCAGCACTCAAACCCAGGCACTCTGATATGGGACTGCAGGTGTCACAGCCATCATTTTTTTTTTTTTTTTAGAGAGATTTATTTATTTGAAAGGCAGAGCAGAGAGGGGGAAGGAGAGAGAGAGAAAGAGAGAGAGAGAGAGAGAACTCCCATCTGCTGATTCACTCCCCAAATAGTCGTGAAGGTGGGAGCCTGGACTCCATTCTGGTCTCCCATTTGGGTACAGGGGCCTAGCATCTCTGGGCATCGTTGGCTGCTGTCCCAGGTGCACTTGCAGGGAGCTGAATCAAAAGTGGAGCAGCCAGGACTTGAACCAACACTCTTATGGGATGCTGGTGTTGCCAGTGGCAGCTTAACCCTGTGCGCCATAACCATTGTCTTAAGAGCTGCCCCAGATGTGCACCCCTATTGAGGTGATACAAATCTTAATGAAAGTCTTGGCTCTGTTACTAAGACCTTTACCAAAAAGGAACTGGTACATAGCGTGGCTGGACCGTAAAGGAAAGGAAAAGAAAACAAACAAACAGAAAAACATCATGACTATGGGAAAATGATTTATTCACTATTACTTTAGGTTTTTCCTGTTTCAAGCAAAGAATGTTTACTTGTTTTAAAGCTTTTACAAAAATTACCAATAGTTAACAGTATGTTTTGGAAGTTTCTGAGCTATCAGTTAATTTTGTTGTAACTGTTTTATTTATAAATAAGCTATCAGAAGAAAAACTAATGATAAAAGTCATCTGAAAAATGTGAAAAAAGGCAAGGTGTGGGGGCATGCAGCATAGAAGCTAAGGTGCCTGTGTCCCACATTGCAGTGCCTAGGTTTGCTTTCCAGCCCTGGCTTCCAACCCCAGCTTCCTGCTAATGCAGACCCTGGGAGGCAGTGGGATGGCTCAAGTGACTGGGTTCCTGCCACCCATAGGGGGATCTGGATGGAGTTCCCAGTTCCTGGCTTTGGCCCTGGCACAGCCTGGGCATTTGGAGAGTGAACCAGTGGATGGGAGCTTTTTCTATAAATTCCTGGACACATAAAACCAGCCACAATTGAATCATAAAGAAATGGAAAATTTGAATGGATCAATAATGAGTGATGAGATTGAATCAGTAATAAAAAGATTCCCATCAAAGAAGAGCCTAGGGCCAAATGGCTTCACTACTGCATTCTACCAAACATTTAAAAGAAGAGCTAATGCCAATTCTTTCTAAACTATTCCAAAAAATTGAAGAGGAGAGAATTCTTCTATAAGGTAGCAACACCCTGATACAAAAGTCCGACAGAAACCCAACAAAAAAAGAGGAAATCTACTATCCTTGATGATCAACATGGATGCATAAACCCTCAACAGAATACTAGCAAACTGAATTCAACGTCACATTAAGAAGATGACTTATGGGATGGGTGTTTAGCAGTTATGAAACTAGTTCGAGGGGCCAGCAGGTGGCGCAGTGGGTTAACCTGCTGCCTGCAACACAGGCATCCCATAGTTAGAATGCTGGTGTCCTGCAACCCAGTGCCTTTGTGCAATTCCTGGTTCCAGCTCCTGACTACAGCTTTCTGCTAATGCAGGCCTTAGGAGGGGGCAGGGATGCCTCAAGTAAATTGGAATTCTGCCACCCAAGTGAGAACCAGAATTGAGTTCCAGGCTCCTGGTTTCAATCCTGGCACAGCCCTGGCTGTTGTGGCCATTTGGGGAATGAACCAAATGGAAGTAGTCTATCTCTCAAATAAATAAATACTTAATTAAAATTTTCTTTTTTAAAAGATTTATTTAGTTGAGAGGCGCAGAGAGAGAGAGAGAGAGAGAGACAGAGAGAGAGACAGAGAGAGACCTTCCAGCTCCTCAAATGATCACAATGACCGGAGCTGGGCCCAAGGACCTGGGCCATCTTCCACTGCATTTCCAGGCCATTAGCAGAGAGCTGTATTGGAAGAGGAGCAGCCATGACTCCAACTGGGATGCTAGCCCACAGGGGATGCCAGTGTTGCAGGCAGAGGCTTAACCTACTATGCCATACCACTGGCCCAAAATTAAAATAAAACTTCAACACATGAACCTTTGGGGAACACTGAAACCATATTTGAACCATAGCACTACCTGGCACAGCCTAGGCATAAGTGACCTACAGATTCAGTGTAACCCCTTCCCCCCATCAAAATCCCAGTGGTGTTCCTTACAGAAATAGAGAAGAGGACCTTAAAATTTATGTGGAACTTAAAAAGAACCCCAGAAGTCAAAGCAATCTAGAGAGAGAGAAGAAAAAGCTGGAGGCTTCGTGATAGACTCTACAGAGCTATAGTGACCAAAGCAGTATGTCAGTGTCATAGAAATAGACACATAGATCAATAGCAGAATAGAGAACACAAATCCGTACACTTACAGCAAACTACTTGCACACAAAGGCACCAAGAACACATCATGGAGGGATAGTGCTTTAGTAAGTGCTGTGAAAACTGCATATCCACTTAGAGAAGAATGTACGAAGACCCTTATTTAATGCCATCTATAAAAATGAACTCCAAGTGGATTAAAGGCTTAAATGTTAAAAACCAAAACTGAAAAGGCTGCCTGCAAGAAAGCATAGGGAAATGCTCCATATTTTGGATAAGAACGCAGAGCACAGACAGGTGGGGTCCCATGAAAGTGAACACATTCTGCAGAAGCTGATCTCCCAGAACAGGAGAGTGGAACAGTGATGACTAGAGGCTGGGAGGAACCAGAACACAGCAGCAAAGCAGGATCAGCCCCACTGCTGTGCAGCACATGGGGTGAACACAGCTTCTGGTAACCTACACAAGAGAGGAGTTTGTGGGCTCCCAGCAAAAAGAAATGATGAATGATTAAGGGCACGGAATGCTAATTACCCTGACTTGGTCAATAGCTATTGTATATGTGCATTGAATGACCACACTGCGCACCATAAATATGTGTCCATTAAAAAAAATAAAATAAAAAGGGGCCAGCACTGTGGCGTAGTGGGTAAAGCTACCACCTGCAGCGCCTGCATCCCATATGGGCACACGTTCAAGTCCTGGCTGCTCCACTTCCGATCTAGCTCTCTGCTATGACCTGAGAAAGTAGTAGAAGATGGCCCAAGTCCTTGGGCCCCTGAACCTGCATAGGAGACCTGGAAGAAGCTCCTGGCTCCTGGCTTTGGATCAGCACAGCTCTGACTGTTACAGCCAATTGGGGAGTGAACCAGTGGATGGAAGATCTCTCTCTCTCTCTCTCTGCTCTCTCCTCTCTCTGTATAACTCTGACTTTCAAATAAATAAATAAATCTTTCAGATAAATAAATAAATAAAATTTCTACAGAACAAAGGAAACAACCTATAGAATGGGAGAAATATTTTCAAACAATGCATCTGACAAAGGGTTAATATTCAGAATATATGAGGGTGCTTCAAAAAGTTTGTGGAAAAAGAGAATTCAAAAGATAAGCTTATTTTGGTGCAAAAAAATCTTTGAAATCAAAGCATAGGTTTTCATGATATGCATTATTCATGAACTTTTTGAAGACCCCTAATATAAGGAACTCAGTAGCAAAAAAAAAAAAAATAGACAAAGATATGAATAATACTGCTTAAAAGGGGTCATAAAAATAGTCAACAGGTGTTTGAAAAAAATGCTCCATGTCACGAATTATCAGAGAAATGCTAATCAAAACCACAGTGAGATATCATTCCTATATAGAATGGCTGTTATCAAAATAGATAACAAATAAATGCTGGTGTGGGTGTGGAGAAATCAGAACCCTTATACAGTGTTGTTGGGAATGTGAATTGGTCCAGCTGTTATGGAAAACAGTTAAAGACAGAACTGTCATATGATCTGGCAATCCCACTACTGGGTTTTTATCCAAAGGAAATAAAATCGGTATGTTGAAGAGACATCTACACTGCAGTATTATTAACGATATCCAGGATATGGAATTCACCCAAGTGTCCAACGACAGATGATTGGATGAAGAAAATGTCACACACACAAACACACACACACACACACACACACACGATGGAATGTTATTTAGCAGCAAAAGAGAATGAAGTCCTGTTATTTGCAGCAGATGGATGAACCTGGAGAACATTAGATTAAGTGAAATAAGCCAGGCAGAGAAAGACAAACAGCACATCACGTCACTCGGCTGTGGAATTTGAAGAAGCTGATCTCGTGAAGTACAGAGAAGAATGGTGGTTACGGGGAGATGGGTCCATGGTGGGTACAGAACTGGGGTTATGGAGCAGGCATGTTCTGGGGTCCTGTGCCTCGCAGGGTGACTGTGGTTAACCATATTACATTGTGTGTTTCAAAGTAGCTATAAGAGAGGATTTTGAATGTTCTCCCCACAAAGAAATAAATATTGAGGTGACAGACGTGCTTAATACCTTGACTTGATCATTACACAATGGATACGTGAATCAGCGCTCACACTTTATCCCATAAATATGTACAGTTATTGTGTATCGGCAAATAAAAAAATGTGAATAATATTCTTGACTTACTGGACCTATGCAGAGCACTGTTTTCTGCAGCGGCTGAAGCCACAGAACATACTGGAACTCTGTGTGCTGGGCCAAGGAACCAACTGCGGCACATTTGAAAGGATTTGAGTCTTACAGAGTAGATTTTCTGGCTGTAATAGAATTAAAGGAGAAAACAACAAGGACAAACCTCTATATTTGTAAATTAGTGTATTCCTAAGAGAATTAGAAAATAACTTGAACACAAATGAAAAAATGACATATGAAAACTTGTCAAATGCAGCTGAGCTGGAGTTTAGATAACAATTTATAACCTTAAATGCATGCATTGGAATTGAAGAATAACTGAAGATTAATGAACAGGCATCCACTTCAGGAAACTAGAAAAAGAACAGTAAAATAAATCCAGAGAAGACAGAAGGGAGGGGATGGTAATATAAATAGAAATTCAAGGAGTAGACAATAGAGGTTTTGTAAAATCAAAAGTAGGGTTTTGAAAGTACTAAAAATTACAAGCATCTGGCAAGACAAGAGAAACGCAGGCACAAATAACTGTTCTGAAGAATAAAAGGCTCCACTTTTGTTAAAATATATAAATTAGGAGGCCATTAGCCTCCATGTAATCAGTTCCTATGTAACAAATTGCCACCTAACTTAGTACATAGGAGTATTTTTCTTGTAACAAATAGATGAGTTTCAGTCAATGAAAACCAGCAAAGCAGAAGCAGGTGGTTAGCTTAGTGGTTAAGGTGCCGCTGTCTCCTGTGGAAGTGCTTGGGTTCAATTCCGCTCTCTGGCTCCTGATGCCACCTTTCTCCCAGTGCACACGCTGGGAGGCAGAGCTGATAGCTCAGATAGTTGGGTTGCTCCCACCCACGTGGGGGACCTAGACTGTAATCCTGGCTCCTGGCTTTGGCCTTGGCCTAGCCCCAGGTGTTGGTGGCATTTGAGGACTGAACCAGCATACAGAACCTCTGTCTGTCTGAGGCCTGCTCCCCTCTGCCTCTCAAATAACAAAGTGATAAAGTTAAAGGTTCCACGCTTTAGCCAGAGGCTGCCAGATCAGCCCGTTCCTGAATAAGGCAAATGCCACACTATGCCATCTCCAGAGAGAGCTGACGCCTCGCCGTGGCCAATCAGGTGACTTCTCACCTTCGCTTTTGTTTTCGGCCTCTGAAAGCTCACTCTCCATACTACTGGATGGAGGGTTCTAGACTCCTTTGAACTTTGGTTCTGGGTGTTGTCTCCTTCATGAATTGCTGTTTGCTTAAATAAACTGTCAAATGTAAGTTGTACAAACACTTTTCTAAAGGTTTAATTATTTATTTGAGATGCAGAGTTAAAGAGAGACAGAAAGGTCTTCCATCTGCTGGTTCACTCCCCAAATGGCTGATTCGAAGCCAGGAGCTTCTTCCAGCTCTCTCATGTGGGTGCAGGGGCCCAAGCACTTGGCCCATCTTCTACTGATTTCCCAGGCCATAGCAGAGAGCTGGATCGGAAGAGGAGCAGCTGGGACTTGAACCGGCAACCATATGGGATGCCAGCACTACAGGTGGCGCTTTACCTGCTATGCCACAGTGCCGGCCTCTGTCTAAAAGTTTTAACACATTAACTCCCATAGAAATGAAAATAAGAAGATATTATAAGTGTGCAAGTACATTTGAAAATTTAGAAGATAAATTTCCTGAAAAACTTACAAAAATTAACAAAGGAAAAAGAACGTTGGAATAGTTCTTTTCTTTTTAAAAATATTTATTTATTTGAAAGGCAGAGTTGCAGAGAGAAGGAGAGACAGAGAGAGAATGAGGTATTCCATCAGCTGGTTCACTTCTCAAATGGCTGCAATGACCAGGGCTGGACCAGACTGAAGCCAGGTGCCTGGAACTCCATCTGGGTTTCCCATGTGAGTGCCAAAGCCCAAGCCATCTTTCGCTGCTTTCCCAGGCACATTAGCAGGGAGCTGGATAGGAAGTGGAGCAGCCAGGACTTGAACTGGTGCTCAGATAGGATGCCAGCATTGCAGGTGGCAGCTTAACTCACTGTACCACAATGCCAGTCCTGGAATAGTTCTGTACGTGTACAGTAAATTTATTTCACAGAAACAAACATGCCAAAGCAACAAAAACTGGAGGCCCAGATGGTGGCTGGTTAATTCTAACAGATTGGAGTATTAGGAGAAAGGAAATTGATAGGGCAAATTAATTTCTAAATATAGATGCAAAAATTAGGACAAACTAGTAGTGAGTCAAACCTAGCAATGAATAAAAAGGATAATACATCCAGCTAATTTGGATTTTATTTTTTAAAAGGTGAGATTGTCTTAACATTGTGAAGTCAATCAATGTAATCACCACTATTTATTAACAGAGAAAGGCAGATATTCATGTTATTGTCTTGGTAGATTCAGGAAGAAAAAAATTTGATAAAATGGAACATTCAGCCATCAAGACAATGAAATAAAGATGCTGTGTAAGAAAAAACGAGGGGCTGGCATGGTGGTGCATTGGGTTAGGCTCTGCCTCTGACAGTGGCATCCCACTCATAAGTACCAACTGGAGTCCTGGCTGCTCTGTGTCTGATCCAGCTCCCCTGATGCACCTGGGAAAGCAGCAGAGGGTGGCCCAAATACTTGGGTTCCTACAACTCTAACGGGAGACTCAGTTGGAGTTCTCGCCTCCTGGCTTTGGCCTGGCCCAGCTCTGGCCATTGCTGCCATTTGGGGAGTGAACCAGCAGATAAAAGATCTCTCTTTCCTGCCTTTTCTCTCCGCCCCTCTTTCTCCCCCTCACTCCCAGACCATCTCTCTGTCACTCTGCCTTTTAAACAAACAAATAAACCTTAAAAAAAGAAAAAAAATCATCATTATATTTGGATGATGTGATTGGATTCATAGAAAATGTAGTATCCTATAGTATCTGCAAACTCTTACTAAGTTAGTTTAATAGTATTGCTCCATGCATGGTCAAATGTAAAATTTAATTGAATTTTTCCATATAGGTGTGTGTCACATATGAATATGCATGTAATACTGAGTTCAATGTTTCAGAAACATCTAATACTTAGGAATAAATATCACAAACTATGCTCAAGATCTCTATGCAAAAACCTTAAAATATTACTGCAGTAACAAAGACTTAAATGAGATCTGTCATACTCATGGAACTGAAGATTTGGTGCCATAGTGATGTTAATAGTTCCCAAACCAATCTGTTTGGGGACCAATCTATAGATTCAATGCACTACCTATTGAAATCTCAACAGGTAGTGTTTTTGAAAGTGACAAATTGACTTTGCCATTTATAAAAATACTCAAAGGGCCAAGCATAACCAAGCCATACTTGAAGAAAGACAAGGAGGAAGTATTTGCAGTCCTGAATACCAGGTTGTATTATTTACTTAGTAGAGTGTGTTACTGGTAGTGAGGATAGACAAATAGACATTGGATCTGGATACCAAACACTCATACCAGACTCCCTCCTGTAAAGGTATGTGACTATTGACAAAGATATTATTGTTGTTGATTGTTTCCCGAATGACCTGTTAGAAAATGTTGTTAACTGAATTTTCATACTGGAAAAAAAAAAAAAAGAATCCTGTCTACTCCCTCAAATATTAACCTCAGGTAAATTGTAGACCTCAGCAAAAGACAAAGCAAGGAGGATTTAGAAAATAATAGGGAGAATATTGTTAACGATAATGTAAGATTTTTAAATAACTCATTGGAATCATTATTAAAGAAAATATTAAAAACATTATCAAAAGTGCTACACTGTGAATGATGGTATGCCTGGAAAATTCCTGTTGAGTCTTAATGCCCGATGTGATGGTCTTATTGTGGAGTGTGGCCACTGGGGGGTATGAGGTCACGAAGGCAGAGTTCACAGGTGACCTTAACATACCATATAGGACGGTGTGAGACTGAAGGCAGCACTCTTATCCAGCTCCACCGTGTGAGGATACAGCAGCCAGGCGCTGTTTGGCAGCAGGAGAGCAGCCTCTCCAGACGCCGATGCCAGTGCTTTGGTGGGGCTTCCCAGCCTCCAGGGCCTTGAGGGAGAAACATCTACCCTTTACAGGTGACCTGCTCAGGTATTTTGTTACAGCAGCACCAATGGACTAAGACGCAAAGGCTCCACTCAGAAGGCACAAAGGCAGAGCAGAGAGAGGCGGAACCTTCTGGAAGTGATGGAGATGCTTGAGATGTGGGTTGTGACGACGGCACCGGAAGTGCACCTGTATGTCGAGACTCACCAGGTTGTTTGCTGTAATCGTGGACTAGACTTTTGTACATCAGTTATAACCCAACAAAGCAGGGGAACAGTGACATTCCAGAATAGATATGCATGGCCCACTTATCTAAGAACAGAGAGGAAGGCAGGCAAAGCAGTAGCGTTGGTGTGGGCGTTAATTAAATTCCCAAACCAAACACACTTAGGCTTCGATTCTGTATGTTTTCATTATCTGTGGCTGTAAATTATATAACCTAGGTCTTTGTAATTGTTCAGATTCTGTGACTGTGCGAAATCAGTTCTACCTAGAACAAGTTTTGTTCTTCGGGCTAAGTATTTCAGAAACTGTGGCAGAGTTAGTGCATTGCACAAATGCAGACAAAAGCAAGCAGAAGCAAGGAATAAAGGAGAGGGATGGGCTACACGGCCCAGAAGGAGTGCAGGGAGGAAACTGCTGGATGCATGGTTGTGGTTCAGGCAGCTGTCCAGGCCTGAACAGTCCACCCAGACTCAAACACTTCTCTGCAGGGAGAGGAGCTTCTGGTGTTCAGAGCAAACCACCTTGCTCTGCCTGGAGCACCCTTCCCTTTTCCTGCCAGCCTGTTGTAGGTGTGAGCCATGGCTGATGAGCCAGAGCCTTTTTTTCCTTTGGGCAAGAGACTGTGCTGTTCCTGGGGCCTCACTCAGCGCATAGTGTGCATGGAGAGCTGTGGTGTGGTCCTGGGAGAGCTCCGTGAGTCAAAAGGATACTGGCGCAGGAAAGAGGTGAGCTTACCTGTAACGAGGGCTGAGCGCAGGAAAAGCTGATTGAAAACCCTGATGGTGAAGCCTGGCCCAGTTCCTCTGCGGCTTGCCATTCATTCCCACATCCAGTCACTCCTTCTTTCCACCTGTCTGTTGAGTCCTGCTCTGAGCTCCCAGATGGTTGTGTTTCTAAATCCCTGCATGACAAGCAGATGCCCATGTTAGTGGTGCAAGATGTGTGTGTGTGTGTGTGTGTGTGTGTGTGTGCTTGTGCACGCCTTTGAAAACATTTCTCAAGAATCTGAGTTAAGAGAACGCTGCTACTCACCATTGCTCATTTGGATGTCTTTTACTTGTAGGTTGGATCCCTGGACAATGCCACCTGCGTTGTGGACGGTGTGGGCCTTGGGGGCTATAGTCAGCCTCCCCACGGAAGGGGCTCCTGACCTGCCCTCTCTGTCTTGTGACCCTGCCGGCATCTGCGATGGGCGCTCCAGATCCTTCCAATCCATCCCCTCGGGGCTCATGGCAACGGTGAAAAGCCTTGACCTGTCCAACAACGAGATCACCTATATCAGAGACAGTGACTTGCACAGGTGTGTGCACCTCAGGGCTCTGATGCTGATGTCCAATGGAATCGACACGATAGATGAAGATTCTTTCTCTTCCCTGGGCAGCCTCGAGCACCTGGACTTATCCAATAACCACCTATCTCATTTATCCGCCGCCTGGTTCAGGCCTCTCTCGTCCCTGAAATTCTTAAACTTGCTGGAAAACCCTTACAGAACCCTTGGGGAGACATCTCTGTTTTCTCACCTCCCACATTTGCGAATCCTGAAAGTAGGAAGCCTTTATGCCTTTGTGAATATTCGGAGGATGGATTTTGCCGGAGTCCGCTCTCTCGAGGAACTTGAGATTGATGGGTCAAACCTGCAGAGCTATGAGCCACGGGGCTTGGGATCCATCCCCAACGTGAGCCGCCTGGTTCTCCACCTGAGGCAGCCCACCTTGCTGCTCAAGCTCTTCCCAGACCTTTTAAGTTCTGTGGAGTGTCTGGAGCTGAGAGAGACTGATCTGGAAGATTTCCGTTTTTCGGGGCTGTCTGTCACCGAACCGAATCCACGGATTACCAGATTTATCTTTAGAAGTGTGAAAATCACCGATGAGAGTTGTAATGAAATACTCAAACTTCTGGCTTATGTGCCTGAGTTACTGGACTTAGAGTTTGATGACTGCACCCTTAATGGAGTTGGTGATTTTGAAGTACCAGACCGAGACCTAAGTCAAGATCTGGGTAAAGTCGAAACGTTAACAATACGGAGGTTGCACATCCCCAAGTTCTACTTATTTTACGATCTGAGTACAATCTATTCACTCTCAGAAAGGGTGAAGAGGGTCACAGTGGAAAACAGTAAGGTTTTTTTGGTTCCTTGTTCATTCTCACAACATTTAAAATCATTAGAATACTTAGATCTCAGTGAAAATCTGATGGTGGAAGAATATTTGAAAAATTCAGCCTGCGAGAAGGCCTGGCCCTCTCTGCAGACGTTAATTTTAAGGCAAAATCATTTGACATCATTAGAAAAAACCGGAGAGACCCTGCTGACGCTGAAAAACCTGACCGACCTTGACATCAGTAAGAATACTTTCCACGCCATGCCTGACACGTGTCAGTGGCCGGAAAGGTTGAGACGGCTGAACCTGTCCAGCACACGGATACACAGTTTGACGTACTGCATCCCACAGACCCTGGAAATCCTAGACGTTAGCAATAACAATCTCAACGTGTTTTCTTTGACTCTGCCCAGACTCAAAGAACTTTATATTTCCAGAAATATGTTAAAGACCCTCCCGGGTGCCTCCTTGTTACCTATGCTACTGGTCATGAAAATCAGCAGGAATTCGATAAACACTTTTTCGAAGGAGCAGCTCGAATCCTTTCAGAAGGTGACGGCCTTGGAAGCCGGAGGGAACAACTTCATCTGCTCCTGCGACTTCCTGTCTTTGACTCAGGAGCAGCCCGCGCTGACCAGGGTCCTGCCGGACTGGCCAGAGAGCTACCTGTGTGACTCCCCATCCCATGTGCGTGGCCAGCAGGTGCAGGACGCGCGCCTGTCGGTGTCCGAGTGCCACAGGGCAGCGGTGGTGTCTGGCGTGTGCTGTGCCCTCCTCCTGCTGACGCTGCTCGCCGTGGTCCTGTGCCGCCATTTCCACGGGCTGTGGTACCTGAAGATGACGTGGGCCTGGCTGCAGGCCAAGAGGAAGCCGAGGAAAGCGGCCTGCAGGGACGTGTGTTACGATGCGTTCGTGTCCTACAGCGAGCACGACTCCTACTGGGTGGAGAACCTGCTGGTGCAGGAGCTGGAGAACTCCGACCCCCCGTTCAGGCTGTGTCTGCACAAGCGGGACTTTGTGCCCGGCAAGTGGATCATTGACAACATCATCGACTGCATCGAGAAGAGCCGCAAGACCGTCTTCGTGCTCTCGCAGAACTTCGTCAAGAGCGAGTGGTGCAAGTACGAGCTGGACTTCTCCCACTTCCGCCTCTTTGATGAGAACAACGACGCCGCCATTCTGGTGCTCCTGGAGCCCATTGAGAAAAAGGCCATCCCCCAGCGCTTCTGCAAGCTGCGCAAGATCATGAACACCAGGACCTACCTGGAGTGGCCCACGGAGGAGGCTGAGCACGCCGGGTTCTGGGGGAACTTGAGGGCCGCCATAAAGTCCTAGGTTCCTGCCTGAAGGCCAGTCTTGGCCTATCTGCGGTCTTTAGGTGCCTTGTTTCAATGTTTATTCTGACGATAACCACACGAATGTATTTTTCATTTGAGGACCTGTTTACTACAACTACTACAACTGTTTTATGAAAACTCACCAGGTTAGGAAAAATGGCTTTGGGGGTAGTATCGTTATAGGACAGTCACGGTCTAAATCTGTTATTGGTATCTGGATCATCTGCAGCCTATGGCTTAGATCTTTAGGACAGAATGCAAATGAACTGAAGACTTCAAAAGACCGTGTCAGGTCAGTCAGCTTTCTGCGAAAGAGGGTGCTCTTCCCCACGTCTCTGTGCAACTGGTCTCAAGAGCACCAAGGGGAAACGTTTGAGGCGCTCAGCCAAACTGGCTGTCATCCTGGGGAGTAAGAACTGTGTGTCCCATTAACCTTGATAGGAGACGGAGTACCAGAGGGTGTTATTGTCACGTGAACTGGGTCTGTCTGGCTACTTGATGGGTTTTCCCAGCAGCAGGCACTTGAGAGAGGGCACACAACACAAGGAACACTAAATTGTGTTTTCCCATGAGAACAAAACTGTTAGAACAAATGGAATACTCAGTTTGGGAGACTTTGAAAAAAGCTTCCACATGCTGTTTCAGGTTCTGTAGCTCTTAGCACCTGTTCAGTTCTACTTGGTGTCTAATCACCAAGGCTCTCAACTTCTGGTTACTTCCCGTGGTGTCTTGTTGCTGTTTTGCTTTTTTCTTCATTGGAAAAAAAAATATTTCTAATTCTAAAAAAAAATCTTCCTTTTTTCCCCCCTTTGGAAAATTAAAAATAAATACATGTGAGCTAAACAGATTTTAAATAACTATATACCTGGAGATTCCTCACAATGTCTCAAAAATAGTTTGATACACAGTAATTGGAAGATAGAAGCTACTACCATGAGTAAATTTTTGTGATCAAGATTTAATACTACATTAAATTTATGTGTTGCTTTTTGCTAAGAGCTGGTCAGTGGTACCGTGCACCTGTCTCCTTACTCTGGAAACCATATTCCAGAGGGAGAAAACCTGCTTTGATTTCTTCTCAGCCAAAATTGGGTTTCTGTGGCTAAGTGGGCTCTGGGGTCAGAAAGACCTGGGTCAGTAGATGGGTAACCTTGGCCATGCCACTGGACCTGATCCTACATGTTTTCTGCCATTAAAATAGGGGTGATAGTCTCTCTATCCTTGGGAACTGAGGGTTTGAAATTCAGGAATAGAAACAAACCACAGAGCATAACATCCCTGGTCTTCTTCCCCTCTGGCGGTTGGGGGGGGGGGTAAAAGCTCCAAGCCCCAGAGAACAGGGACCACAAGTACCTGTTTCCCTTACACATTATTGCTGGTACAATGGTTATTTTTCTGTTATTATTTATTGCTAGTTTTCAATAATTGATTTTTCCTTACATATTAGTGCTGGTAAATTTTTTTTTCTGTTACTATTATTTTCCAATAAGTGGTTTTCCCTTTAGGTATTATTGTTTGTAAATGGTTATTGTTCTGTCACGGGTACAGGCAGGCATATAAGAAACCCTGCTGTTTGAAGAGAAATACCCAGAGAAATAAGTTCATTAAGTGCATAATAGGCTCCAGGCCGTGTCGCTCATACCAACTGCTTGGAAGGTGAGAGGGTGAGACAGTGGCAGCCTACGGAAAGAGGGACACGTTCTCAATAAGGCCCTGTGGGACTGTCACAGAAACCCAGCACAACAGGGGGATTTCTGTTTTCTTCTGTGTTTCCCACAGTGGGCACCACATTGATTATCAAGAGAGCCAGATGGTGGCCAGCTTTGCGGCGCAGTGCGTTAAGCCACCATCTGCAATGCTTGTGTCCCATATTGGAGCTCCATTTTGAATCCTGGCTGCTCTGCTTCTGATCCAGTTCCTTGTTAATGCACCTGGGGAAGTAGCAGAGGATGACCCAAGTGCCTGGGCCCCTGCCACCTACGTGGGAGACCCCGTCGGAGTTCTAGACTCCTGGCTTCGGTCTGGGCAAACCCTGGCCATTGCAGGTACTTGGGGAGTGAACTAGCAAGTGAAAAATCTCTCTTTCCTCACCCCCATAGTTGCTTTTGAAATAAATAAATAAATAAATAATTTTTTTTAAAAAGAGAGAGAACACCAGATCAATTCAACATTGGTTTGATCTAAATATTTAATTTCAAGACTTTAAACAGCAACACAGATAGCTTCATAATTGATAGTTTTAAAATAATCTTTAAAAATCAGGTGCATTTTTCTCATTTTGAATGTTAGGTATATTCACTGAGGAAGTGTCAGAAAAAAGGTAACAGCATATAAGAGAAAATAAGAATGGGGTCTTCTCCCATGACCTTGGGATGACCTTTGGTAGCTTTGTAATAATGTACGTAGCTCCCCTGTCTCTTCTCGGTGCATATGTGCATAGTTCTTTGCCAAATCGGGATTAGAGTGTGAAGACTTCAGTTGTAGAAAGAAAATGGCAGCTTGATTTTTTTTTTCTGAGGTTGTGTAGTGATTATTGACACTTCTGAGCTCTGAGGGTCGCCTTGACTTCCGGCTTATAAATGCCGGCTTCCTTGCCCAGAGTTCTAAAGGTCATAAACTCTACCTCCGTGTAACTCTCCTTACCAAGCAGGGGGCAAGTGCATCAGAGGGCGATTTAAGGGACTCTTTTTTTTTTTTCCCAAAAGAAAACTAATTTTCATTTAGTGCTTTATCCAAATACAAAATCTTTTATTTATAAGTGGACTGTAAGTTTAGGATCTTGCTTTATCTCTGTAGTCCCATGAACATGCCTAGCATGTAAGAATTGCATTGTGGAACTATTTGCTGCAGAGAGAAATGAAGCAGAATTACATCTAGAAATCCGAATGGTAGGGCAGCTACAATGCTGAAGCACTGGGCAGTGTGCAGGAGGGAAGTTGCCAACACGGTGAAATCTTGTGTGTGTTATGTGGACAATGGCATTTTGAATAGCTCAGATACACTGCCGATATACGGACAGGGAAAATCAGTGTGTTTCCTCTCTACTTCCTGCAAGTGTAGTGGCTTCTAGTGTTTCCAAATAGATACGTGGTGTTCTCTATATGCTGTTGGCTATTTAACAAACGACTGGGAGCTTAAAATGAATGAATTTGAGGTCCAGCATAGCATTCTTGGGTTAATTCTTTCTGGTTGTCTTTCTTATTCCGTTAAATTGGTCTCTCCTGCCAGATAAACTTATTCTTTCAACAAATATTTATTGGGTGCTGTGCTGGGTATGGCTTTAATGGGGGATATATTGGGGAACATGACTGATAAAATCCCTTGCCTTCACGGAGCAGAAGACAAACCTACAATACATTTGACAGGATTTCAAATACTGGTAAGTCTCACGGAGAAAATAAGAGCAGAGCAGTGCATAGAATATGTCTGTCCTTGTGTGTAGGGGAATGTGTGCATGCACTCGTGTGGGCGTGGACTGACTGGCACGAAAGGAAGGAGGGCGTCTCTCCACGTCAGTGTGTTCCTTGGGTGGGTTTTAGTGCAGCTGGCAGCCCCAGGAAGCCCAGAGTTGCCAGGGCCCATCAAGTAGGCGTGACAGCTGGGCTTTGGGAGTAAGCTCTTCTCTGTTCAGAAGGGTTTTGTGGTATAAAAGCTGCACCTAGAGCAGAAAAGACCTTAACCCTAAACCAAGGTTTTTTTAAATTTTTTTTTTTGACAGGTAGAGTTACAGACAGTGAGAGAGAGAGAGAGAGAGACAGAGAGAAAGGTCTTCCTTCCGTTGGTTCACCCCCCAAATGGCCGCCATGGCCGGAGCTATGCCAATCCGAAGCCAGGAGCCAGGTGTTTCTTCCTGGTCTCCCATGGGGTGCAGGGCCCAAGCACTTGGGCCATCCTCCACTGCCTTCCCGGGCCACAGCAGAGAGCTGGACTGAAAGAAGAGCAACCAGCACTAGAACGCAGAGCCCAAAGGGATGCCAGCGCTGTAGGTGGAGGATTAACCAAGTGAGCTACAGTGCCAGCCCCCTAAACAAAAGTTTTTAAAATAATTAATTAATCTGAAAGGCAGAGAGACAGAGTTCTTCCATTTGCTGGTTCACTATCCAAATGGCTGCAATGGCCAGGGCTGGGCCAGGAGCCAGGAGCTTCATCTGGGTCTCCCACATGGGTGGCAGGGGCCCAAGGACTTGGGCCATCCTCCGCTGCTTTCCCAGGCCATTAGCAGGGACCTGGATGGGAAGTGCAGCAGCCAGGACTCGAACTGGCGCCCATATGAGATGCTGTCAGGTGGCTTTACCTGCCATGCCACAATGCTGGTCCCAAACCATAGGTTACTTAACAACGCTCCCTACTGTGAGGGTGTTGGATTAAGGATCAGGTAGCAGTTTTAACTAAATTCTGTGTGTATTTTGCAAACCTCTGAAACCTTTTACAGATGAGATCGTTATTGGTCATATTGGAGGCAGAATGGCCAAAAACGGGTGTAACGAATGTATCACATGCGTGGTTAGAAAGCGATTGTAGCGGGAAAGATGGAGAAAGCACACTTTATTGAGTTCTTTCCACACAGATTGCTTCAAGTATGATACCAGATCTTAATTTTCCAAACTCCTGAGGGATTCTAAAATTAAAAAAAGAACATCAATATTAAATACAAGACCAAAGGTTTAGAAATCTTCAACCATGCGAGGCATTGCTTCAGCCCGAGTGTGCTGCACTATTCCAGCCCCAGAGAATAGTTAATGCCTTGAACTTTTCCTATCACTACAGGTTGCCAGGCCACTAAATAACGAAGCCAGTCCAGGATTTGTCCATACAGAAAATGTGTGCGCTCCCAGCTAAGGCTCAGTTAAGGAGGTTGTTCTGTGTACAGCCAAGTAGCAAGATAGCATCAGTCCCATTTGCAAATGTAGTAAGCAGTGCAATAAATGGGCATTTCTTTTGTTGTCAATTCTGTGTGCGAATTAGAAGTCCCCTATGTGATTTTCATGGCATTATTACCATTGCTATTTACACCACACCCACTCTCTGAAAATAAATTGAAATTGTTTATAAAATAAATAGAATAAAAGGCAAGGGTATATGCTCGGAGAAGGAGGAAGTGGGGAGCGACTATGGGAAAACCAAGGACAGCAGAAGCTGCTGAAAGGGGACAAAAGCTTCGTTCTGGGCTCTCCTGCAGTCGGCACATCACAGAGGGCTCACTGATGACACTAGGGCATCACCTAAGGCACAAGCTTTTCTGGTTTTCTCGATAAATCGTGTTCAGGGCACTTAGTGAATGCATAGTGTCTTTGGTTTTTTACAACCGAAAAAGCAGCTTTTCCACACTGAGTCTTAATGAAGGAGAGCTGGTGGGGCTGGCATTGTGGCCCAGCGGGCTAAGTCACTGCCTGGGACTCCTGCGTCCCCTGTCGGAGTGCTGCTTCCCATCCAGCTTCCTGCTAATGCATCCTGGAGGCAGAAGGTGAAGGCTCAGGTGCTGGATCCCTGCGGCCCGTGTGGAAGACCCAGACTTGAGTTCCAGGTCCCTGGCATTGGCGTAGCCCGGCCCTAGCTTTTTGAAGGCATTTGGGGAGTGAACCAATGGATGGAAGACCTCTCTCTCACTCCCTCCTTCCCTCTCTGTTGCTTTGTCTTTCAAGCAGATGAAAGCATATATTTAAATTTAAAAATTCTCTTTAAAAAAAAAGAGACCATGTACCTTTTTGATGAGTCATAATTTGTATGCATGTAACATAATTTTTCATTAGCAGAATTAATGGTTATTTTCATGTGCAGAATAGCTCCTGTAGGCCCTTTGAGAATGTGTAGCATTCAACAGTTTAGGGCCTTAAGACTATAAAAAGAAATGAATTGCCCTTTTTATTTAAGTCATTTAAGGTGACATTTATGATCATATTAGTACCACTTTTATACCAAAGGTTTATGTACTGCAGTTTTATAAGTTCTTTTTTTTTTTTTTTTTTGACAGGCAGAGTGGACAGTGAGAGAGAGAGACAGAGAGAAAGGTCTTCCTTTTGCCTTTGGTTCACCCTCCAATGGCCACTGTGGCTGGCGCATTGCACTGATCCGATGGCAGGAGCCAGGTGCTTCTCCTGGTCTCCCATGGGGTGCAGGGCCTAAGCACTTGGGTCATCCTCCACTGCACTCCCGGACCACAGCAGAGAGCTGGCCTGGAAGGGGGGCAACCGGGACAGAATCCGGTGCCCCAACCGGACTAGAACCCGGTGTGCCGGCGCCGCAACGTGGAGGATTAGCCTATTGAGCCGCAGTGCCGGCCTGTTTTATAAGTTCTTAGCCAAATTCCTCTCCTGGTATGAGAAGGGGTATGCAGGGACTGTGGGTACAAAGGAAGGAGGAAGGAGCGGAGCGTCACCTTCAGCCTTGAGTTGTGCTTGTGTGACACGGATCACTGGGAAGGCCAGGCTGTGGGTGGAGCCAGGGGATGCGGGCCGGCAATCTCTGTTGCCATGGCACCACTCTAATACCCAAAGACCCACTGATACTACCTTCTCCTCTGATGCGCTCTTTGAAAGTTGTTCCTTGATTTGCAGTGCTCAGAGATGGGGGCATTGCTGCCGGGATCCACCATTAAACTGCACCTTTGGTGAGGAGTAAGGGAGCAGCAGTGGGCAGGAAGCTATTTCATCGCTGTAGAGCGTAACTGCCTGTCCCGAAGAAGGCTCCCTCTTGGAGGAAGAGCGAGTGTGTGGCAGGTTGATGCCAACCTCTCTGGCCTTGTCTGTTTAAGGGGGGATGCGTTGGGATCCCATTTGTCCCATTCATTCCCTAGAAGAGATAGGACATGGTCTTGGGGTTGTGGGTTCAGGATCAAGTCTTTCTGGTCAGCTCTGAATGAGGGCCATTCCCTTCCTATAACCGCAGTGAAACTTGGGCCTCTTCAGCCAGCCACCTGTGTTGCCTTTGCAAAGCCTGGTAGCTGTTATAGAGCTGCCCAGATCCGTGAGTCTTCACTTCCTCTCCACATTACACCAGTAGGGTCCAGCCTAAGAAGAAGTGACGGCATGGCCACGAAGTTAAAAAGCTGAGACCCAGTTCCTAATTTCTGGGAATAATAAAATTTGGTACATCTCAAAAAATACTTTTTCCATACCCTCCTTCACACTTAGGGCTTTTACAATTTCGATCCCAATTTATTTACCCATCTTCCACTCATCCAATCCAAGCAGTGGCCCATTCATCTGTCCTAATTATTCCTTCGTATTTTAAACTACCTTTTGCAATGTCCCATCACATTCCCACTCATGTTCTTAATGTGGAAAATAGGAAACACCAACAGTGGAATGCTTGTTGGCATTTAACTGGCACACCAGGATGCAGGGTAGGCACAGGAGGGAGAGATCCCAAGGAATTCTGAAATAGGGAAAACCATTTCCTGCTGTCACAAAAGTTATACAGTCATTGAGTACACATTGAAGAATGCACCCCTAGGAACATTTAAGGTAACATCCTAGGACTTTTTAACAAAGGATACGGGTTACTGATCATCCTCTTCAAATCAACCTTCTCTTTGCAGTAAGGGCAAGTCTGCTTTTTCCCAACGATGCACCACCCTCGAATGCAGAATTCATGAAAGCTGATGCCTCTTGTTAGGAATCTTCCAGACGTGAGAGGGTGCGGCTCGGCGGAGATGTGGAAGTGACCCCGTCTTTAGGATCTGGCAGTGGAGGTGGCAGCTGCACTTGATGGTGCACCTGACTTTTGAAGGGAGATTCGGTTAGGACAACGGAGCCCCTAAGGACAGTGACCTTGGAGTGGGAGAAGCAATCACAATCCCTGAGGCATTCACTCAGCTCCTTGGCCTTAACTGTGGGCATGCTTTCTTTCAGTAAGGTCTAATGGAACTGTATCCTTGTGGCCCCTTACCTCCTGCTTCATACTTTTCTCATGCCTTTACCATGTGTTCCCGATTCTACTTCTTGTTCCCTACTCATTACGTTCTTGTCTTAGGCACATAGACAGGTTTAAATTGTTTGTGGTCATAAACTTAGAAATATTTCTATTGCCAGCATTGTGGCGCAGCGGGTTAAAGCCCTGGCCTAAAGCGCTGGCATCCCATATGGGCGCCGGTTCTAGTCCTGGCTGCTCCTCTTCTGATCCAGCTCTCTGCTATGGCCTAGGAAAGCAGTAGAAGATGGTTTAAGTCCTTGGGCTCCTGCACCCACATGGGAGACAAGGAAGAAGCTCCTGGCTCCTGGCTTCGGATTGGCGCAGCTCAGGCCATTGTGGCCATCTGGGGAGTGAACCAGTGGATGGAAGACCTCTCTCTCTATCTCTACCTCTCTCTGTAACTCTGTCTTTCAAATAAATAAAATAAGTCTTTGAAAAAAAATATTTATATTAACTTCATATGTTTTCTTCTTCAACTATTATTGATCAGGAGCCAACTATGTTTAATACGATATACAAATGTTAAACTTCTCTGTCGGCATTTACACATTCACGTGCCTCCATCACTCGTCCAGGTAGTCGGATCCTTTTCCCTACACTGGAGAATGAGCTCCTTGTTTCCTCACAGCATTAGGCACTTACTCTAACATAGTGTGACTTTCTCTGTCCTTACATGTCTCTGTTGCGTGTGGGACTGTGTCTCATTCATTGCTAGTTCCTCGGTACCTTATGCAGTGCCTGAGAAATATTGATTGAATCAGGCAAAACTAATTATTTTTGGAAATGTGTATTTCCAAGTTCCCCTTGGGCAAAATGATTCACTGTAATGAGATCCACCCTATTGACTGATTTATTCCCACAGCTGCTGCTCCTCAAGTGGTTTCTGGGCCAAGACCCCCTGATCTTCTAAGGGGCCCACTACATATCCGTGGTAACAGCAATGATGTGGAAGTTCTTTTCCTAACAAATGGGGGGCCTTGGAAGTGTATCCTGGGCAAGGTCATGTGTGTAATTCCTCACTATTACATCTCTGTGCTACTACGAGTTTCCACTATTTTGTAGGCTTAGAATCGGGGTCATTTTCGCTATGTGCATGGATGACTAGAAAGTGATGTGAAACAGCAAAGATGTTGAATGCAAACTCATGCAGCCCTGAGCAGAGTGCCATCTTCCAGTCGGGCAGTAGAGGGCAGGGGTCACAGAGCCAGGACTGAAAGGTCCACACCCTCTTTAATAGTCTCTCTCTTCTTCAGGCCCTGCGTTCTGGCACACGTCCACACTGGCAGAACCACTGGCGTGCAGTACTCAGATAAGCCCTCCCTGTTAATATGACTCATGTTTGCCCACTCCTCACTAATATAACTCATGCTAAAATGAGCTGTTAATAACACTCCCTGCAAAAAGCAAATGTAAAGGTGGCTACATTTTAGATGACATATGCACACATGTACTACAGTCCCTAAGGGCTTTTAAAGGTGGAGAGGGAAAATATTTCCACTTGCAAATGGCAGAAGGGGCTCAGTTCCAACATTTGAAAAGTAAATCATATTTAAAACTAGGGCCAGGCTTGGAAAATTTCTATGAAGAATGATAGTTTTTTGGTAAGGACATCACACTGAAAAAAACCACTGTAGAATTCCATATGGGATATCTTTGTATTCCTCCCCTTAAATTGTTAAGGCTTAAATGTTGGCATAAAGTCCCCCATTACATTTGAGATGAATTTGGACCAGTTTTGGACTCTCAAGATTGAACAAGTGGAAACTGTCCAGATTAAACAAACTTGAATCAGAGGCCCCGCACATCGAAGGCATGACCGATGGAATTAGGTGGACTTCGGCAACAAATGACAGCTGGTTTAACCATCTCATTGTGCCAGAGCTTTGAACCAACTGGCTATATTGCAATAATATAAAATTGATACTGTACTATAATATAAAGATAAATGATCCCCCCATTTTTTTTGTATGCAGGAATGAACAAAAACCAATTATTGGTAATGCAAACACGACGTTGATATCCATAGTTACACGGTCAGGATACACAGGTGGCTTCATTCAGGGGTCTTGATGCCAGTGCACTGGAGTCCCCTAGAAGGCTGGTTTCCAGGCCCAGGCTTGTCTGGCACCTACTCCTAAGAATCCCTCAGCCAACAGCCAGCCATTTGGGTTGGAACACATAGGTGGAGGAGCTACGCGATCCAAGAACTAGATTCTCAAATGCTTGGTGCTCTTTTTGTTGTCTAAGGAGTCCTACTTCCTGTGGCATCCTCCTTTCAAGACCAAGGCTGGACAGGAGGCTTGGTTTCCCCCTGCCTGGCTCCCAGGACAGTAAGTTCCCTGGGATTACTTCTAGGCTAAGCACCCTTTGTTCTGCCTGGTCCCCTGAGGTTCAGACACCTGGATAGCCTTGAGTTCCTCCTGTACCTAACACTTCACTCCCTCCCCCCACCTCCAAAGCCCTGCTCTGCTGGTTCTTCTTGGCTCTCTGCTCATTTAGGGCTTCCGCCAGCTTCCCCAGCCCATGCCCTGCTTGGGAGGTGCTTTCCTTCCTTGTATGATAAGAGTCCTCTTTTAAGAGAAAGTCACTGGCTGGCGCCATGGCTCAATAGGCTAATCCTCTGCCTGTGGCACCGGCACACCAGCTTGGGGCACTGCTCCTGTGGCTGTTAACGGATGCTAGCCCTGGGGCGGTTTCAGCACCTGGAGCCCTCTTCCTCATTGGCTTTTCTTGCAAGGGCATCTCATTTCTGACAGTGACCTTTAAATGACCTTGAGATCAAAAGGTTTCCCCAGGGCCAGCGCCGTGGCTCACTAGGCTAATCCTCCGCCTTGCGGCGCTGGCACACCGGGTTCTAGTCCCGGTCGGGGCGCCGGATTCTGTCCCGGTTGCCCCTCTTCCAGGCCAGCTCTCTGCTGTGGCCAGCGAGTGCAGTGGAGGATGGCCCAAGTCCTTGGGCCCTGCACCCACATAGGAGACCAGGAGAAGCACCTGGCTCTTGGTTTCGGATCAGCGTGATGCACCGGCCGCAGCGGCCATTGGAGGGTGAACCAACGGTAAAGGAAGACCTTTCTCTCTGTCTCTCTCTCTCACTGTCCACTCTGCCTGTCAAAAAAAAAAATTAATAAAAAAAAAGGATATCACTGCCTCACCGTGGTTAATTCATTATTCAGCAGGGATTATCAGAAAGTCTTAGAAAGAATGGGCTGGGGGAGAAATGTCTGCGATGTGGGGATGGGAGATGTGGACAGGAGGAGGGGAGCGAGGTAAGCAGGTGGTTTGGTGAAGGCAAGATGGTTTCCCAAGGAAAGGATACACATGATGACACGCCAGCTGGTAGGTGTTTTCAATGAGTCCTTCCTCGTCGAGCTCCACAATGATCTTTTGCCCGCAGACGGCACAGGTATCATCTGACAAGCTCCTTGTGGGCATCCCACTGATGCTGTAGAACTGCAGGGCGAATAAAGAGATGATTGGTTGGAAGGAGAGCACCCAGCACTCCCAGGCAGGGAAGCCAATGCCAGGTCCTGGCACAGGCAGCTGTCCTTGGCACACAGAGACTTTACTGCTTCTAAGTTGGCTCAGACCTTGAGCCTCTTTCCTGTGGGAACAATGCTACAGAGGGGTGATGGTTTCCAGGCTAAAGCCCACAGAATCCCAAACAGACCCAAAGCACGTTGCTAATGATGATGTCTAATCTAAGCTCTGCATTTAGGACTCCTGTGAGAGAAACAGTTTTTATATGGTGCTGCAGTGCAGAATCACACATGTCCATGAACTTGCCCCTCCCTTTATTCTCCTGGAGACTCTGCGTTAGAGATCTGGAGTAAACCCAGGGGTCAATGATTTTTTTTTTATTTAAAGATTTATTTATTTTAAAGAGTGACACACACACACACACACACACACAGATATTGAGATTGATTCTTCATTTGCTGCCTTACTCCCCAAATGACCACAAGGGGGCCAGGGTGAAGCCAGGAGCCTGGAACATCATCTGGGTCTCCCATGTTGGTGGCTGTCTTCCCAAGTGCATTAGCAGGGAGCTGGATCGGGAGATGAACAGCCAGGACTCAAACTGGCATTCGTGGGATGCGGTGTCACAGGCTCAACCCATCACACCACCATGCCAGCCCCAGTGATTTATTTTTTTTTAATTCCCATATTCTTTTTGGGAACACCCAGACTAACTGCCATTGGAAGAAAATGCATTTAGAATCCTAACCTGCACACAGGTAACCCATATGAATGCCAGGTTCAAGTCCTGCTTCCAGTCCAGCTCCCTTCTAAAGTGCCTGGGAAGACCCTGGATGATGGTCCAAGTCTGTGTGGGAGACATGGATGGAGTTTCAGGTTTCTGGCTTCAGCTTGGCCCCAGCCCCAGCCATTGTGGCCATCTGGGGAGTGAACCAACAGATGGAGGATCTCTCTCCCCACCACCCTATATTTGTCTCTCCCTTAATCTCTGTAACTCTGCCTTTCAAATAAATATTATTTAAGAAATACACAAAGACAATATGGAGTGCCTAGTTTCCCCCATTATTGTTGTTGTTGGATTTATTTTAAGGAACTGACCCACAGGTAATCAGGGCTGTCAATTCAGAAACTTGTAGGGCAAGCCAGCAGGCTGCAAGCTGGCAAGAGCTGATGCTGCAGTCTTGAAATGGAATTCCTTCTCTAGAAGGCTTCAGTGATTTTAAGGCCATTGAACAAGTAAGGGTAATCTCCTGCACTTAAAGTCACATGGTTGGAGGTGGGTGGTTAACCTTGTATATAAGGTGCCTGCATCTCACATCAGAGCACCAGGGTCTGATTCCTGTCTCCAGTGCCTGACTCTGTATTCCTGCTAATGTAGACCCTTGGAGACAGCAGTGATGGTCTGAATGGCTGGGTTCCTGCCACCCCTGTGGGAGATCTGGATTGAGTTCCCAGTTCTCAGTGTTGACCTGGGATCCAGTCCCAGCCATTGCCTACATCTGGGGAGTGAACCTGTGGTTGGGAGCTCTTTCTATCTCTCTGCCTCTTAAATATATAATATTTTTAAAAAGAAAAAAAGCCACTTGCAGATGTTATTCATATCTACAAAATATCTTCCAAGCAATATCTACATTAGCACTTGACCAAACAAGTGGACGCCATAGCTTGACAAACTGACACATAAAATTTAACCATCATAAGCTCCTTTATGACAGAATAGCCACATAAATTAAGGCACATTTTCTGTATGCATTTGTCTATTCTCCTCAATTTGTTTATTTATTCAGTCACTTACTTATATCAATGTGGACTCAAGGCTATTTATTTTATATTTTGATTTATAACCCCAAACTGCTTCTACTACTATCGCATTGCTCAAATTCCAGCTTTGGTCACTGGGAGATCTTCTGGTTTGCCTCTGTGTCTCTTTGACATATCCCCATCATTGTCGAGGGTTTTTTTTTTTTAGCACTTTGTAACTTTCTCAAACTGTGACTGTCTAGGATCATATTGTATATTCCTTGCCCAGATCTATAGTCAGCCATTTCTTCAAGGAGCCCTGGTTCCTTTTATTGTAGAATGATATTAGAAGCCAAGGTGGTTATAACAACTTGAGTGTCACTGTTCTAAGGACTTCTAGTTGAGAGAGAAGGAATATAGCATTGTATACCAACCCATGTATACACACATTCTATATGTATTCATTTGCATATGTATTAAGCTATGTAGAAAATCATACTTATTTCTCCTATTTTAACCCATTATTACACAGCTTAGTCTAGCCTCTGTTTATCTGTAATTTCCCACTTGGACAGTGAGAAACCCAGCTTCCACTATCAGCCATCCATTTACATAGTTGTTCAATTCCAGAATGCATGTGTAGTGTTATTGGTAATCTATAGCCCCAAATAACTATCAGCTAGAGTGCAATGCTTATGCATCATTTTGCTTTTAATCTTACATTCTTCACTCATTTAAAAATACTTAGGACAGCTTCTCCTGTCCACACCCCCGCCACCTCCTTCATTGAGATTACTTCACGTAGTTGGTAGTTGTAAGACAGCTAGATTCCTGTTTTCATAACCTGAGATCCTCTGACTTCCTAATGATCCTCGTGAGTTGCATACATTGAGAATCACCCTGTCTACTACAAAGTTCTACAGATTTTGACAAATGAATATTGTGGGGAGCAACTGGGAGCAACTCGGACTAGACTAAGTTACTGGAATTAAGACTTATTCTATGCATCTGCTCTCCCACAATATGGCGCTGGGAGAGGAGGAAACAGCTTCTACATAGCTGCCTCCAGTTCAACCAATAAACAGCAGGACCTGCTCCTGATTGGAGGAGAGCAGCGTACTCGGCATGTGGGTAGCAGAGTTGGGATTGGTGGAAGAGGACTATAAAGGAGGAGAGAGACAACATGCACCAGGAACATCTAAGGGGAACATCTATCTGAAGGAACACCTGAGCAGCCCCCGAGAGAGCCGGCCGGCGGTGTGCCACTCCCCCGCGGAAGTGGGGAAAGTGGCAGGGGGAACCGCCCTTCCACGGAGGTGGAAGGGACGGTAGCCAACCCGGGAAGAACCAGCAGCAAACCCGGGGAGGGCCGAGCAGACAAAAGAACAGCGCAGGGTCCTGTGTCGTTCCTCCACGAAGACGGGGAGCGACAAATATAGTGCCAGGTATCCACCATTGTAGTATCATACAGAATAGTTTCTCCACTTTCAAAAATTTCTTGTGTGTTACCTGGCCAGTCCTGCTCCTTCCCTAACCCCCTGGCAACCACTGGCGGTTTGGTTGCACCTTTTCCAAAAGTCATCTAAATGGAGCCACATAGTATGAAGCCTTTTTGAACTGGCTCTTTTCACTCAGAAATATGCATTTAAAATCCATCAATGGTTTTGGATGGCTCGTTCCTTTTTCTAAGGTGTTTGTTTTTTGTTTGTGTGTTTTAAAAAGCAGATGCATTGGCTCCACTCCTAGAGACTCTGACTTCCTTGATCGGTGTTGGCTTAGGCATTGGCATGGGACTGGAGAGTGCTCCTCCTTTGCAGCCTTCCAATCTCAGTAACAAGCACATGAACAAATGTGCATGGTAGCCTGGACACACACACACACACACACACACTCACTCACTTCATTAGTACAAACTGGTGGCTGTGCCAATGACTTGAGGCTGTGATTTTCATAGATTTGGTAGCTGGAATGAAGATGGCAGAAGGTGAGGAAGGTGGCAGATGTTGAGGATGTGTGTGGTGGGATCAGGTGAGAAGTCTCTAGAATGCTGGTGCTTAAAGACTTGGCTGTCTCACCAGTTGCAGTCTCTTCTTCCTGCCCCACTGGAGAACAGGGCACATTCAACCCCTCCTCCTCTGCTGTTCACAAACAAGCGCAAGGCTTTGGGGATTGTCTAGGATGAATGACTTCCGGTTTCTGATGGAGGAATGGGGAGTGACAATGCTCCTTCCTGTGCTCACCTTAAACCTCACGAGAAAAAGCACTTGTCCCCTTAGACAGTCCATGGCAGGGGAGTACAGAAGGTATGCTGTTCTAGCATTTCGCCGCAGAAGTTGGACTGTAGGCTTAAGGACAAGAGTGAGACAGAGCTGATGGCGGGGTGAGGGGTAGATAATGGGGTCGGGATGAAGTCAAGCTCATGTCCGCTTAGCTCCTGTCCCATGAAAGGAGGCAGAGCAGTGCAGAAGTCCAGGCTTCCTTTGCTCTTTACGCTTGCTTCCCTGCTTCCTATTTGGCAGACACAGGTAGAGGAAGGAGGCCGGGTTTCTGAAGCATCTGGCTGTGTCATTCCTGGAGCCCTTGGTTTGTGTTTAAGAGATATGCACATGTCTGCCACAGAAATGAATCTGGAATCCACCTAAGTAGAGGGTATGTCCAGTCTCCACTTTCATAGTGTTTAAAAAACATACAACTCTTCAAGATTTTTTTAAAAAGAAAGTCCAGACACCAAAATACAGTGAGAATACATGTAGCATACTTTTTATATCTCCTACTCTTTTTAGAAGCTTTCTATGATAACTGGTCTTTATGAAAAGTATACCCCGCAGCACTACTGATTCTGGGGGGTTTAAGTAGCATCGAATATGATTTATATTTTCATTAGGCAGAGTTTCTGGCAGAAATAAAGTTTTGTTCTGGTTGGTCTTTTATTAATCCTTTAAATTTTGGCAGTTGGAATATGCTAGATATAACATCGCAAATAATCAACATATTTTATTGTAAAGGTGCATTACCCCCCCAATCATTCTATGTAAAAAATGTATCCTCAAAAATTAATTACAAAGAAAATTTTTGATGCAAGAAGATTCCAGGGTCCAGCTGGGCTCAAAGGGCCGGAATAGGACTAAAGGAAACGATAATCAATACCTGAAGAAAAATTTAACCATTTCTGAAAATTAAAGCCAATACGTGAGAGGAAAGCACTTCTCTTTGTGTCATAAATGATTTCGGAGAACGAAGGCAGCACTTACCCCTATAGTGGAGGCCATGTAATCGGAGCAGATCTCAGCAAAGTCTCTCCCCATTACTCCATAGTAGAGGCCATAGAACAGGGACACGATGCCAAAGTCCATGGAATCTCTAGCTTTGATTCTAGTGAAAACAGTGTAAGGAGATAAGAAGGTGGCACTTGGTGGGCGGGGGTGGGGGCTGGAGTTTGGCGGGTATTTCCTGCCATAGTGCCTAACAGAGTCTTGCGATTTTTTTTCATTTAGTTTTTCCTTTTTACATGAAAGAATGAAAAATTCTCTACATTTCTCTCAAATTATACCACTCAATGCCAGTGGACAGAGGAATTATTCGGTAGTACCCTCTTATCCGTGAGGGATACACACCAAGACCCCCAGTGGATGCCTGAGATTGTGGATCGTACCAAACTTTACATGTGCTGTATATGTTCCTTTGCATCCATCCTTATGATACAGCTTAATTTATAAGTTAAGCACAGAAGATTAATAATAAGAATGAATAAAAATGGAACAATTATAATGATATACTGTAATAAAACTTTGCACTTTGGGGCCATTATTAAGTAGAATAAGGGTTGCTTGGACATAGGTAATGCAATGAATGAGAGGCAATCTGATAACAAGCGATGACTACTAACAGGCAGGTAGCATGTACGGTGTGGGTACACTGGACCAAAGGATGACTCATGTCCTGTTGAGACGCAGCAGGACAGCACAAGATTTCAACACACTGCTCAGAACAGTGCAGAATGTGAAACTGGCTGTTTGTGTCTGGAATTTTCCATTTTATAGTTTTGGATGGTTGACCATGGGTGACTTAAAGTGCAGAAAGCAACACTGTGCAACAGGGAACCCTGCTGGAGTCTTTGAACCCTTCTTGGGACTGATCAGCTGACTCTAGCCAGTGGTTTCAAGGTTGGTTACACCCAGAAAGGCCCAGATAGCTTGTAAAAATCCCCATCTTCAGGCCACACCCGGCCTGACTACCTCAGATTCTCTAGGGAAGGGGGTCTGTGCAGCAAGCATGGTTGAAGCGCCCCAGGCCCCAGGTGATTCCACTGGGGCAGTGCTTCTCAGCCTTAAGCATAGATTAGAATCACCTGGGAAGACGTAGCACTACACTGATGCATGGGCCCAGCAGCAGCGACTTCAGTTGACTTGCTCTAGGGTGATGTCTGTGTCAGGTGCCTCTACCACAGAGCTAGATTGTACAGCATGCTTTTCAATACTTCATCTCACCTAAGCAATGTCTGAGATGGATATTATTATCCCCCATTTTTGCATATAAAAACAATGAGACCTATAAAAACTAATTCCTTACCATGACAATCGGTTACAAACACAAACCAGCAACCAAGCTCAGATTCTGGGGTTCTTTGCTACCTTGCTGCGATTGCCATATACTCATCTCAAACTTGTTTGCAAGTTGAAATATATTTCACACACACTAGGATCCTCTGTGACAACTCTTTGTTTTGTCTGAAGAGGAAGATCTCTTTACAAAGTAAAGAACTAGCCCCAGAGTTAATTTATGAATCTCAGGCATTTGGTGTGTTATGGCAGCTGTCAGAGGATCTCAGAGAGCAGCAGTGGCCTGGTGAGTCTGATTGGTGTTAGGGCAAGGAGGAGGGTGTGAGAAGAGTTGGGTAGTCTGCTTCTGGAACCTTCCTTTGGTTGTTTTTGTGCTGTCAATTTGAGGAGGAACTAAGTAGAGGCAGAAAACTTTGTAGATTTAGATAGGATATAGAAATTTTGTGCTGTGAACTGGGAATTCCAACACAAATTTCAGAATTTGCCCGCATATTTTTGAAAATTAGGATGGTGAGGAGGAGTTAAAGTTTATGTTCCCTCCATGACCAGGGCAGTAGATGTTCATAATGCCATTGAACACACTGTGGCTCTATAGGAAAGAACTGTAATATGATGATAACAACTAGGAGCAAGAAAACAGTTCTTTCCTAGTGTGAAGAGTTATAGTCTCAGTATGCCTCATTGTAGAATTCATGGATAAGGCTCTTAAACTCTTGTAAAGTCGTAGTCTTGGACAACTGTAGTCTCAAGTGATTTCATTAACATTCTTATAGATATTTTACAGTCACATAAATAAGGCATGATAAACATATGCTAGCAGGAGAACTGAACAGTGTTTTGTGTATTTTAAACTTGGAGTAATACATCTGTACGATGACTTTCTGTCCCTTTCCTCCTAGAACACGTTAGGCGTTCCCTCTCTGAAAGCTTCATGAAACGCTTACAAAATTGGATGCGGTGTGGCCAAAGGCAGGTCCCTTCTCCCAGGGCTGGTTCTCTATCCACTCACCGTCCTTATCTTACAAGTCCAAGGTTGCTGATTGCCGTTGTGACCTCAGAGATTCAGAGTGACTTCAGTGTGACAGATACTCCGGGCGAATTTTCCTTGAGCTGCTTTCTGTAGCTCCATGCTACATCTTAGGTCCCCTTCCCGGAGCACAGGCCGGCTCTCTGTGGGTCTCATCCACAGCACACGTTTGCTCCCTCCTGATGGGAGCACCGTTCTGGTCAGAGTTCCCCAGGTTGCTTTTTTCTTCCCAGGACTTTTTGCTGTTTTCCCATCACTTCTCTTTTGATTCCTGTGCCTTCGGTTTCCTCTGATTCTAACTGTCCCCAACAAAAAGGGTTTTATGGATACCAGAAACAAAATTCTAGAAAGCACTACTTCCAGCAGAAGCATAGCCACAGATATAAGGTCTCGCACTGCATAATGATGTTCCCGTCTGTTACAAACTGCATATCCGATGGTGGTCCCGTGAGGTCATCTTGCCTGGTGCCACATAACCCACTTGGTTTGTGTGTGTACACACTACAATGCTTGTACAATGATGAAATTGTCTAATGATGCATTCCTCAGAACACATCCCTGTCATTAAGTGAGCCGTGGCAGTAATTTTCAATGTTCTAGAAACCACTTTTAAGATGTTTTTCAGACTGTATTTGAAATGCAATGTATGTTTTATACTTCTAGTAGATCTTATTTCATCTTTTAATTCTTGGTAGTCACATGAGTTGGAAGCTACATATTGGACAATCTACTTCCAAAGGTTTTAAAGAACAGCAAGGTATATAGAAGGAGATTTGGACACTGCAGAATTTTGTGGAAGGGAAATTGGAAGTCCAGTAAAAATTATGGTATCACAATTGTAGGGCTGCTCTCAATGGTGGCCTTTAAAGTGAAGATCAAATATAGGTTCTCTTTACAGCTTCTAAGTGTTACATGTATTGCACTTTCTCACTTTTCTTGTGATCTTCTCCAGTGATAAGAGTGTGATGAGCAACTATAAGAAAATTTGTGTATGGAGAGTTATAGGGCTGAGTGCATCTGGTTAGAGAAATGAGGCGACCAGGTAAATGTCCCCAGCAAGCACTTGAAGACATACATATCTTAAGCAAAGATACTTACTTGAAAAATAAATTGAATCCACACATTGTGAACATGATAGCCAAATAACCCACAACACCAAAAGCATAGCTGAGCTTGTAGATGAGAAGAAACCATTTGTAGACCAATCTGTGGAGTGGAAAACGGGGAGAAACAGAGAACACTGTAAAGCACTTCTTCATTTTCAAACACTGTTATAAATTAGGTTGAGTTTTATGTATTACATACTCTACAGGACCATGCATATGTATCAGTTAAACTCAAGAATAACCTCCAGTTTTACTATAATAGCAACAGATAACATATAGTAACACTATCGTGCTCACGTGCTTTCCTGTGCCAGTGCGGGCACATTTATTTGACTTCATCTGGGTTCTTCATGTAAAAATGGCCTTCAGGAATGGTCACTCCCCCTGGGGTGCTACCCACCCTCTCGCCTTTGGGTTAACTTGCAGTGGTTTTGGTAGAAGTGCCTTATAGACAAGCAATACAGGTGAAGAGATGTCGAGAGGACCCCACCAGGAGTTCCTCTTCCCTTCTGCTATGCCACCCCTTGGCCTCCAGCCCAAGTGCATTTATCATTAGCCATGGGCCCAGCCCTTGGCCCAACCCCTCGCTACCCAGAAAGCCCCTCTCCTAGCTCTGGGACTGAAATTACCAGAGCGTTTGAGCCTTGTTTTCTCATGCTGGGTGGATGAGTCTTTTGTGCATCCCAGCACTTGCCCAGGGCCACTCCTGGGCCTTGCCCTACTCCCACGGTGTCTATGTGGAGATGAGGACAGAGGGTGAGAGAGGAGGTGATCCAGAAGGAGTCCCTCACCCCACCTGTCTCCTTCCTCACTGGCAATCGAGGCCCTTACACAGACTCGTGGCTGTATCACGCCCGGGGAGGCTGTGGGAAGAGGATAGGGGTCCAGTTCCATTCCTGTTGGGACCACACAAGACCCTTGGAACAGGAAGTGGAAAAGCTGGAGGCTTTTCTTTGAGTCCCAAAGAAACTAAAAGGGTAGCTGGAACGGTACTTCCTCAGCCCCTTCTTGCACTTCCTCTTGAAGCCCCTGCTCCCTTAGGTGAGCCTCTTACCCTGACCTGCCCCAGAGTCCTGCTCCAGAGATCTGTCCCCACCCTCTCATCTCCACTCTCCCTGTTGGGGTCAGTGCCTCCAATGCTTCAGTTCTGTTGGTATGACTGGCGCAAGGTTTCAGTATTGTCTCATTTTTAATTTTTACGAAATTAATTCGAAAAGCAGAGTGAGCAGCAGCAAGAGAGAAAGAGCCATCCACTGACCCAATTCCCAAATGGCTGCCACGGCTGAGCCATGCTGATCTGGGAGGCTGGGATTTCAACTGGGACTCCAACATGGGAGGCAGGGACCTAAATGCTTGAGCCCTGACCTGCTGCCTCCCAGGGAGCACATTAGCAGAAATCTGGAATCTGAAACAGAGCCGGGACTCGAACCAGGCCCTCCAGTACATGGAATGCGAGTGTCCCAAGAGGCATCTTGGCCTCTGCATCGAATGCCTGCCCCTTAAGTTATTATAAAAGATGCTGTATTACATGGAGTTCCAGTCATGGGGGACCTCTGAACCATTAGGCATTTTGGGAGGTGGGGGAGGCTGTCATTGATGAGCTGTCATTTATGTGATTTCGAAGGGGAGATGCTTTCTCCTGTTAAAACAAACTGACACATAAGAGCCTTGTGGGCCAGCACCTGCTCCACACAAGTATACTCCTGTCCTGGCAACTATGTGAAGCCCCAGACACTGCATGGGTGCATGAGCTGCCTTAAGTTACCAAGAGGCTGTGTCAGCTCTGAAGCGAGCCAGAGAGGGATTTTCTGCCCCCAGTGACTTGTGAGCCATCAGTATTTTGGATTTGCCAGTGTAGGGCAGTTTGGATCACTGCTCAGTGCAGCCAGGTCCAGGAAGAAGTTCATACTACTAAAAGGAGTGATGATGGGGAAAGAGAGAGGTCGCCCCACCCGGCCTGCCAACACCAGCCAGCGCCACAGTGCGGTCCCCTGATTTCTATCCTGCCTTGAAGGGCATCTCTCGGCACCGGAGATGTCCCAGAACCAACAGCTTTTTATACTGCACGCCTTCCCCGTACTAAGTGGTCTGATGGCTCAAGGAAGACACAGCAGCAGTTGAGAGCAGCGGCACTGCAGCCCAGCACTCGGGCCGGACTCTGGGCTCTGCGCTTGCTGCGTGTGGAACCTCGGTCGGCTCCCTTGGTGTTCTGTCCTGCGATCGCCTCATTTACGAAGCGAGGGCCGCGACAGCAGCTCCTCAAGTTGTTCTGAGGAGTACGTGCGATCATGCGGTGATGTTTAAGAGACTTGGCACAGTAAGTGCTTAATGTCACGTCGTTGTTACGAATGCTAGGCTTTCCACATCCCAGTCTTCCTGCCTATTGGGTTACACGTTTCCATGAACGAAAAAAGAGTCCAGAACATCTTTACTCCTCAGATGTACCCTGGAAGGCCGATAGGCAAGACATGGAATTGAACTACCGCATCAGAGCAGCTTCCGAAAAGGAGAGTCTGGTCCTGGGTTGGAAAAGATACGGGTCAAGCCCAGCTCTTTGTGGCTAGTGTGTGGCCTGTTTCCTTGAGCCTGAACTTCAACACTTGCAGCCAACCCAACTGTAGTGAGAGGAAACTCACTTCTCCTTCTCTTCCAACAGTGTAGGCCTGATATACTCCAGGGGAGGAACAACTGTTTTTTTTTTTTTTTTTTAATTTATTTTCATTTCATTTTGAAAGGCAAAGAGATAGAGAGAGATCTTCCATCTGCTGGTTCACTCCCCAAATGCTTGCAAGAGCAAGGGCTAGGCCGGGCTAAAGCCAGGAACCAGGAACTCAGTCTGGACCTCCCCGTGGGTGGCAGGGACCCAAGGACTTCAGCCATCACCTGCTGCCTCCGTGGGTGTGCATGAGCAGGAAGCTAGATTGCAAGCAGAGCCATGACTAGAACCAGGTACTCTGTTATGGATTGCGGGCGTCCCGAGTGGCATCTTAACTGCTATGCCAAATGCTTGCCCCCGTAACTGAGCGTTCAGTGGTGCCAGGGACCCTTCTCTGGGGCTTGCCTTCTGCACCAATGCCAGCTTTACTAGGCTGTAATGAAATCCTCTGCTTCCAAATGGGAAATAGCGAAGATGTGACTCATCTATAGAAACACGATGAAGCAAAGAATCACGAAGATCCGCGGGCCGCCTGCCTCATCGCGCCTGCTTTTTCTAGATGAGGAGCTCACCAGCTGTGCCACGTGGTCTCTCCAAACGACAGCAGGGTGTGTGGTAGCCCCTCAGCAGGGCCGCCTGGCTCTCAGACTGTACTGCAGGGCGTGAGGCTGCGCACGTGGAGAGAGGCAGAAGCGGACGTGCAGGAGGCACGAGAGCCAGAGGCACCCTGGCCTTCTGAGACACCTGAGCCGTGAAGGGCACTGAGGCGGCGTGTGGGTGTTTCTCATCAAGCAGTTCCTCCTCCGTGTGCACTGAGCTGAGGCACATGATACCACTGCACTGAGGGAGGTGGGGAAGGGAACCATTCTCATGGAAATACAGTGTGGGTTACAGCCAGGGGGTGAAAACAAGGACATTGCTATTCGTCCAACACAGACTTCTCTCACAAATCTTAAGTACCCACAGCAGGTTGTGAGAAAGAGGAAGGGTGCCTTGTGTCCATTTTATGGATGGGTAAACCAGGCCCTACAATGGCCAACCAAGACCACACATTGGTCATTTCTGAAGGTCTCCTAACACCGCCCACAGCTTTCCCCAAAGAGCCAGCCCATGAAAGTGCTCCTAACCCTGCATTCGTATAATTCAATTTTACACTTACCTGATTTATCCCTGCATATTTTTCCTTCTCCAAACTATAGAGAAAAGTTGATGTTTATTTCTCCTACTTTATTTTTAGAGAATAAAAACACACATCCAGACGGCTGAACAGTGGCCGGTGCTGTGGAGCAGCGGGTTAAGCTGATGCCTGTCATACCGCCAGCCCATATTGAAACAGCTGCTCCACTTCCAATCCAGCTCCCTGCTGATGTGCCTGGGGAAGCAGTGGACGATGGCCCAAGAATCTGGGCCCTGCCACCTCATGTGGGAGACCCAAATGGAAGTTCTGGCTCCTGGCTTAAGCCTGGCCCAGCTCTGGTCATTGCAGCCATTTGGGGAATGAACCAGTAGACGAAAGTTCGATCTCTCTCTCTTGTTCTCACTGTCTTTCTATCTCCCCCCTCACCCTACCACTGCCTTTCAAAATAAAATAAATCTAAAAACAAAACAGATGGCTGAACAATCATAAAAGTATGTCATAGAAACTCATGACTCATTCTCCAAAAAGGTCAACATTTGAAATCATCCTCTTACGGTTTTACATCTTCAAACCCTTTGAGTTTATCTTGATGAGGCTTGGGGTCCCAGCCACAGGGCAGGGGCAGCAGTGGTAGGCAAGGCATGTGATGAGATGCACTTTGGGCAGAGCTGTGAGGGATGCAAGGAACCGTACAAAGCTCCAGACATTGTCAGTGGTGGGGAAAGTGATCCCTGGGATATGGAAGCCTCAGTTGTTATGAGAGCAACAAATTGTCCTTTCCATACGATTTAGTGGATCTTTGTGAGTTGAAACACAAACTTTCAGCTCTTGCTCTATTTTAAAATATGCATGATACAATTTACAGTGGAATAAAACAAAATGCTGAGCTAATAATAAACATGCAAATAATGCTCTAGAAATGTTAAACAATAGTTTCACTTCTCTTCTTCCTGGCCTTCACCAGCTGGTACCTGCAAGAATGAATGTTACAGGCATGTCTTCATCACCATTCAATAACGAGTGGGACTAACAGCTGTAGAGCCGAACTCCAAATGGCTTTCCCAAAAGTACAGGAAGCAAAGCACCCCAACCCCCCCAGAGATGGAAATCAAATGCACTTTTTAATGTTGCAAGTAAAAAAGATGGCAGGGAAGGAAGGACTGGCATACGTACCGGGGGGTTCTCCCCGAGAGCGGTTTTCGGGTAGCTCTGAAGAGGATGTAACTGGTGATGACCGAGAACAGTCCCCATAGAGACAGAAAACGCCACCAGTACAGTTTGATCGTGAAATACACAGGAACGACCCACATCTGCAACAAGGTCACCAACTGTCAGGAGAATGAACAGAAAGTCTCCTTCAATGATTAGGACCTGGATGGCTACACTACTATTCATTTGTATTTATTTTATTTGAAAGGTGGGGCAGGAGTGGGGGAGAGAGAGAGAGAGAGAGAGAGAGAGAGAGAGAGAGAGAGAGATGGATTCTCATCCACTGGTATACTTCCCAGTACTCACAAAAGTCAAGGAGGCTGGGCAAGGTTGAATCCAGGAGCCCAGAACTCCATCTGGGTCTCCCATCTGGGTGGCAGGAGCTCAAGTACTTGAGCTGTCATCTGCTGCAACCCAAAGTGCACATTAGCAGGAAGCTGTATTGGAAGCGGATGGGCTGGAACTGGTGCCCAGGCACTCCAGTGTGGGATGTGGGCATCCCAAGTAGTGACTTAACTGCTATGTGCAATGCCCGCTCCACTGTTACATGATTCCAAAGCTTCTCAGGGGAGGCCATCTCCACCATCAGGTCTGCACCATGCAACTGGACACCGTCCAACTGGACAGGCCCAGTTGTGGAGAGAACTGGCATGACTGCCTGAACATTCAAAGGAGTAATCATCTGAAACCTGAAAGTCTCTGCCCTCTCCTTTCATCTGATTGAGATGAAAGCCACACGGAGCCTCAACAGCTTTGTGATTTTGGGTAAGTGTGCCTCACTGAGTTGTAAGATTGGGGATACGTGGCCATCAGTCTGGATGGGAAAGCCCCTGAAAGCCCAGCTGCATCACACAGAGCCCAGGGGCTGTTGGGACTCTCATGTGCCTATGTGAAAATGCACAGTGGTTAAATGAGGAAGTGGTGGGCAGGTCTCTGAAAAGCTCCTGGGACCTGGTCTAACTGCTGTGCCTTTGCAGTCTACGGCTTCACTCCCAACCAAGCTGGGGGCCACTTTGCCCCTGACTGTTGGGTTTGTAATGCACTGCCTTCCTTCTTGTCTCTCTTCTTTAGTTACTGGTGCCTTTCCTAGGCATCCCATGGTATGGACTGTGGATCATACTGTTTCCTGTTTCTCTCCAAGTCCAAGTAGCTATCAGAGGGTCCTTTTTTTTTTTTTTTTGACAGGCAGAGTGGACAGTGAGAGAGAGAGACAGAGAGAAAGGTCTTCCTTTGCCGTTGGTTCACCCTCCAAAGGCCGCCGCGGCCAGCGCGCTGCGGCCGGCGCACCGCGCTGATCCGATGGCAGGAGCCAGGAGCCAGGTGCTTTTCCTGGTCTCCCATGGGGTGCAGGGCCCAAGCACCTGGGCCATCCTCCACTGCACTCCCTGGCCACAGCAGAGGGCTGGCCTGGAAGAGGGGCAACCGGGACAGAATCCGGCGCCCCGACCGGGACTAGAACCCGGTGTGCCGGCGCCGCTAGGCGGAGGATTAGCCTAGTGAGCCGCAGCGCCGGCCCAGAGGGTCCTTTAACCTGGTTGGCCCCAATCTCACAGGTCAGAAGCAGGACAGATGGAGCTGATGTGTTGTAATAGGCCACTGACTGGATGTGGTCTCTGTAGCAAAACTCCTACCCTTTGGGGCTGGCCCAAGACAGCTGTTCCCTCTCTGTGAAAAGCACTCAGGTTTAGCCGATAGCAGTAACCCTTGGTCTTTCATGACCGCGCCCTGACTAACCACTTATTACTTCCTCAGACTGAAGAGAAGGGGAATGGCGAAGTGGTGTCTTCTAAAGTGTGGGAGTTACTTCGTTTGGGGTGGCCCTGGCCGTGCTCTGTTGAGGACGTGGAGCTCGGATCTTGGTTTCCTGGTAAAGTGTTTCATGGTCTGTTCACTACACCTGCCAGCTGTGTGGGAAGAGTTGTATTCCATATATACGACCTTGAGGATACAACACACCCTTGCCATTTGTTTTCTTCAGAGGGGGAAGACTTAGTAAGAAGTGCCCCTGGATGCATTTTTGGCTCCTTTAATAAGGTCTTTGTTGATTAAGTCTAAGGTCCAAGAACCCCAAGTATCCATCAGACCCGAAGGCATTAACCAGACCCGTCACTCTCCTTTGATTACTCCTTCCCCTCAAAGTCTTCCACCCCCTGTTAGAATCGCTCAGAATCCTCTCGCCATGAACACCATTACACTCACACACACGCATTTGAGCAAAAAATACACATGGAGCCAGACTGACATAAATATCTGGAGAATTCAGGAACAAAATATCCTATAACCTACTTTTTTTGTTTTAATGTTTCAGGGAGCAGTAAATATTCTTTATTCTCACCTGAATTAGAGAGTTGCTTTAATTTTTCCATCCTATGTAGTGGGTGTGGCCAATGGTAATAAATGAGTTAGCACCTTTATTTGTGAAATTGAGGGGCTGGTGTTGTGGTGAAATGGGTTAAGCTGCCTCCTGTGACATCAGGTCCCATATCAGAGTGCAGGTTCAAGTCCCAGCTGCTTTGCTTCCAATCCAACTGCTTGCTGATGCTCCTGGGAAGGCAGCAGAAGATGACCCAAGTGCTTGGGCCCCTGCCACCCCTGTGGGAGACCTGGATGGAGTTCCTGGATCCTGGATTTGGCCTGGCACAGACCTGGATGCTGTGGCCATTTTAGGAGTGAACCAGCAGATGGAAGATCTCTCTCTCTCTCTCCTCTCTTGCTCTCTTTCTCTCTCTCACACACACTCTTTTGCTCTTTTTTTTTTCCCTAAAGATTCATCTCATCTATTTGAAAGGCAGAGTTACAGAGAAAGAGGCAGAGAGAGAGAGAGAGGTCTTCCATCCACTGGTTCACTCCCCAAATGGCCACAAAGACTGGGGCTGAGCCAGGCCACAGCCAGGAGCCAGGAGTAGCCCCTTCTGCATCTCCCATGTGGGTCCTGGGGCCCAGGTGGTGCCATCCTCCGTTGCTTTCCCAGGAGCACCAGCAGGGAGCTGGACCGGAAATGGAGCAGCCAGGACTCAACCAGCGCTCACATGGGACGCCAGCACTGCAGTCTGGGGCTCTAACCCACTGTGCCACAACACTGGCCCCTTTTGCTCTGCCTTTTAAATAAATAAATAAATCTTTTTTTTTTTTTTTTTAAGTAGAGATGAATGACATACATAAATAGGAAAAACCGGCTTCACTTAAAGAAGCAGGAAAGTTTTCAGGAGAACCTGAAACTGCAAGCTGAGCAAATGAGACTCACGATACACCTAATCGGGCACTCAACGCTCACCCTTTGCCATTGATAATGAAAGTGCGCAGCCCCTTCCAGAAAAGCTCATCAGTGTTTTGGTTGTGGGCTTCCTGTTGCTGCATATGGGGATAGTTATCTATCATAAATCTTACATTTGCTGGCTCTTTAAGTTCATTACGTCTGAAATTAAAGAAGGGCATGGCCATGAGCCCCATCTTTCCAAACATGATCATCTGTCACTTGCAGTTTTCGGCTTTCTCTTTTAAGACTTTGAGTCACTTTTGCATTTCCCCAGTAAGAATGCTGAAGTTTTTCCTTAAAGAAAAAGTCCAGTTTGTTCCAATTCACTGAAACTACTATGCCCTTATACTTTATACTTTAGATCATAAGCCAAAATTTATAAGCTTAATCCATTTCCTCAAATCCACGGAGTTACAATCTCCAATAGTTTGGTGCTACAGTTGGACTATATTTTTCTAAAACTAGTTCTCTCCCTGCGGACCTATAAGTATGAACCATTTCTAGAAGATCCCAAATTTCTTTTACCCCATGCCTGGATTTGATTAGCAATGAATAACAATGTTCAATGTATAGACACGCTACTTTTTAAAATAGGCTTTGGAGATCAGAAATGAAAGGAAAGCAAAAAATCATGATAATGTATTACGTATGCAAACATTTAATTTTCTTAACTATCTTTAAAGTGTATACCCAGCCCCATATTTTCTCAACATGCTAGGGGAAAGGTCAGACATTTGCATTGTGAATGCAATAATTGTATGAGGAGTCATTTTGCAACGAGGGCCACCTTTCACAGCAATTTAAAAGATTCTTTATCAATTTCCAGAGCAGTTAAAATTTCTCATTTTTAATAGTAACTGCCACATATGAAATGTAGGAATGCTGTGCCTCATAAATAAACACAGGAAATATGTGCAGTCCAGGCGCATACATGCCAAGGAGGAAGCCTGGCAGCTGGGACACATTAGCAGTGCCAGAGGGGTCGCCATCTGGGCATGTGCGTCGAAACACATCTGCATTGCTGGCGCAGGGCGGCCCTGCATCTGGATCGCATCACCCGCGTTCTCCCCACCCACACATCATAGCAGGAGGAATTTCCTGGTGAATCAGATGCAGCCGAAAGGTACCATGTTTTTTTTTTTTTTTTTTTTCCTTGTTGCCATGCACATAATGAATCTGAAAAGAATTGCAGTTCAAGTCAAAACAAAGGTATCTTTCATTTGTCTAATTGGACAGCATGATGAATGAGCCATACAATATTAAAATAAGGAAAGAAAGAAGAAGTTGTGTGATACTCATTTCCTTTGCATTGCAAATCCTGAACTTTTTAGAACCGCGCGTGCATGTGTATGTGTATGTGTGTGTGTGTGTGTGTGTGTGTGTGTACGGGGTGCAGAGAGATGAGAGATGCTCAGAGATAAGCAAGATGTTCTCATGGAAACAAATGCCTCCAGGAAACACTGTTGCTTTCAGTACAAGGCAATGGAGGAAAGTGTGGACATAATCAGCCAAGAAAAACGTATGCAATCTTGGCCCATGAGAAGTCCTCAGAAATTCAGTTAGCTCGTAGTTCTATCTCCAGATCAATCCAAATACTTGGTTTTGTCACTGGAAACTCTTGAAGGAGATTTTGCGATGTTACGCATGCATGCAGCAGGCATGTAGGTTCGTGGATCTGAGGATTTGTGCCTTGCCTCGTTTTCAAAAGATTTCAGCCCTTGCAATGCTTTATTGGCATAGCAATATTTTCTTGTGTTTCACAGCGATTAATAGGCAGGAAGTTTGATTTAAATAGAGCAGCGTTTCAATCTGTGGTGAATTATTTGCCTATGCATTGAGGCAAGTTAATAGAGTGTCTGAAAC